AAGTCGTTACGACTGAAAATTAATTTTTATAAGCTTAATTACATTTACAATTAAAAACTTTCTCGGAATTAAAATAAAATGTTATATTTTGTATAATAAATTTGTGTAATAGATGTTTTTTTTATATATTAGGTGTTGGAATTAATTCGTAGCGTTTTTTAATGAAAGAATGTTATTTATTTCACATGAGCATTAAAAAATACATTAATGAAAGTACTTCCCATCACTTGTAAAACGCTACGAATTAATTCCAACACCTAATATTATAGAGGACACTGATGATAAATATACAAAATTAATGATTGTGGAATAATAGCAAATTAGCAAGCCGTGCACAATTTACGATTGAAAACATCCGAAGTTTCATCTGTATCGAATATCGATACAATGTAAATTCAGCATATCGATATTTCAAAATATTGACGTCTAGCTGAAATATCGATACGAAATATCGATATCTCAATTCAAAAATATCGATAATATTACGAAAGATCCATACTGTATCGTCATCCCTAATTTGGTATCATTATATATTTATTTTATTTATATATCATATTTACACATGTTTTGTAAATCATATCTAGAATAAATTTGGCAATTATTATTCTGATGCATCATGCATTTTATAGAACGCATGATGTATCATTTTATTTTTGTTATTCACCGAACGTTAAACAAGGATAAAAGATACATATTATGCGCATTATGGAACTAAAAGATTATATCCTCGTCCGAGCTCCAAATATTGAACCATTTAGAATTTGCTCACGTAAGAATACATCCGTCTATTTATTCTCCTCATGTATAATTCCTTTTGGGATACACTTCAATCCCATCATGCTTCAATCCAATCCTTCATGATCGATAGTTTTTGACAGTAGCAATCGACGAAATTCAATGAAATCAAGAAAATAAAACGACCAACAGTAATTTAGGCCAACGATCGCTTAGAAGAGATGAGGACGAGCCAAATTGAAGCCAGGAGATGTGGGATCAGCTACCTGAGCTGATATTGACGCAGATATTCGACTACCTTGATCGCACTGATCGCGCCAGCGTCAGCCAAGTCTGTCAATCATGGAATCGCACGTTGTCTTCACCTGTGCTCTGGCGATCCGTAACAGTTCTCATCGATCGCGATTTACGCGGCGATTTCCCTCTAGCAGGAGAACTGGCCGTAAGAGACTTTTCTGCCATTCGATGAAATTATTTTCGGCGACTTTAATTAAATCTAGAATTTTTAAATTCGAGTTGTGTGAAATCAAGATCGTGAATTTGAAGAAGAAAGTATAATTCGAGAAAAAGCCGATCTACTTTGAAAAATAGGCAAAAAAAGAGATGAAAATAAAGATTGCAATAGTAAGAATTAGAAGCTCACTATTGTATTATATTTTTGTAAATTTAAGTTCTTCCGAAATTTTCTTGAAAAATCTTCATCGATTTCTGATTCTATCGCTTCAATCATTTTAAGGCAATCTTGAAAATTTGCTACATTATATTATGTCATTACATGTTACGTTCAATATAGCTGGTATTGATAATATAAACGATATAATGTTATTGATAGGCAAAATATGGACAGCATATGCGCAGCCTGGAGCTCGCTTTTTCACGACCATACATCTCACCGAGACAAATTAGGATCAGACGCAACATTCAGGCCGAGGCGGGCGCAGATTTTCTTGCGATCGTCCGTGCCAAAGACGTACAATTGCGACAATTAACATTAACGAACTGGGTGTTCGGTTACAAATGGGGCAATAGGGGAATACTGCTCTCTGCTCTGGCTAATTTTCTGCGGTAATCAAATTGTTTTTGTATTGATTTTAATTGATAAGCAAGAGCTTATCTCAAGATCCCTTTTTCGTTTTGTATAGCAGTCAACGCAGCCTGGAAATTCTAAGCTTGTTAAATGCCGACTTTGCCGTGACTGACGTTTTGCGATTGCTTGGAACAGTTGCCAAAGGATCTGGCGAACATTTAGTCTCCCTGGACCTCCGCGGTGCTTTCAGAGAGTGGCAAGCTCCTCATGACAACCCAAAGCACGTAAAAATATTAGAAAATATTTTATATACATATGAATATATAAATGAGAATTAAATGAAAATCTTAAGAGCATTTTCATGACTTGAGGATTTATTCATTTCAACAATTTTATATAAATTGTGATGATTGACACAATGTGTTTGAATTATTTTTTAGATACTTACGCTTATTAGGTCGTTTTCACGCGCTAACTCTGTTGAAATTGGACTATCCGGCTTTATCGAATGACGCTCTTGATGCTCTTGCAAGCGGAGCATCGAAAACACTGAAATACCTGTATATATCCGTGAGAGATTCGGATTCTAGGCAACACATGGTAGCAGATGCTGCTTGGCGCAACTTGGTGTTAGCTTGCCCTGACTTGACAGTATCTTATACTATAGGTATAACATTGTTGCTATATATATTCTACGATTGCCTTAACTTTTGTTAAAGATTTCATCTTTATAACTGTTTTTTTTTTACTTCCAGAATTATTATATGATCATTTTTCAAGCTTATTTTTTATTATAAAAATTTTCTAAAAATGCAGAAATTTAATTTAATACGAATAGACTTATAATATTAAGATTATTTATTTGTATTTGATTAATATTGATTGATTATTATTTGATTTAGATGTTTAAATTGAAAATTATATAAATTCACAAAAAATATTAGGCACGAAGATCCGCCTTGTCCAAATACGTTTTCCACTCATTTGTGTTTAAAAATAGATTTAATTTTCATTCATATATATATATATTATTTACGGACTTACTCAGAATTATTGCATCATTCAGCTTTTCAAGTCTGATTTTCAGTGAACATCTCACATTATGAAGATATGTGCTACTTGCTACTGCCTAGTGTCCCTTTAGCCAAGTTTCATATGTTCAGCGGACATGTATGGGATCAGAGTAGATCCCGTAACTTCAGAAACACAATTGGTCTGATAATTACTCAATATACGAATACCCTAGGTATTTTACAAGCTATACTTGCTAATCAATTTAAGATTTAATTAACGATATAAAGTAAAATATTTATCAGTACTGCCGCACTTGTTATACAAACCTTATAAATTATAAATTGAATTTTTTTCCATTTTGAATAAAAATTCTGAATAAAAATATCTATTATATATCTATTATCAGAATAGAATGAGGAAAAATATCTTCTCTTGTAGTTGAAGTTATGCTGCAGCTTAGGAACAATCGTGAATCACTCGACGATTTGTTAGTGTCCATGCTGATACGTTGCAAGCGTTTGACGAGATTGCAATATGATGGAATTATAAGGAGCCTCGAGACTTTACGCGAGATATGTCAACTTCAAGCCGAACGTAAAACCCGTAAGTAGCCATAAGTAAAATTTTATTTTTTACGGCGTCAATAAACATGATTATATGAATATGATCGCAGATTTCAGGACGATACATGTAAAACCTCGGAATGTCAATATACAAAATCGGGCTATACTGAACGATATTAATTATCGATACGATCGCAAAATGCACGAACAAGGAGTCGATTTTCGGATTGAAGATATCACTTCGATCTTATTCTTCTATTGATAATTTATTCACCGTTAATAACTTTGGGTGATTTAGAAAAAAATTCTGTATCTATTTTAATGTTTTGCGACTACATAATATCAAATATGTTTTCTTTTTTATTAAATAACGTGATAAAATAATAAAATTCTTAGAAATGAAATAATATATAATTGTATTGTAATAGAGCAACAAGCAGTGTAATATATAAAATTGTAAAAATATTAAAACTGATTAACAACTTATTTCAATTTAAGTCTTAAATGATTAATATATATGTATATATGTTTTGACATAATAGCACATATACGAGTAAGTTATTACAAAGTTATTATAAAGATTATTATTTATTTAATATATATATATATATATATATATATAATAATTATTAATTTATATAAAATCATTAAATTACATTTTTTTTCTATATTTTCTTATTCACAAATAAATAAATAGCAGTTATATAAAATAGCAGTAACTATTTGTATAGAAAATAATAAATCAAAATAGTATTATTAATTATGAAAATCTAATTGCACTTTACACAACAAATGCTAATATTCATGTATAATAAACAACACATATATCACAATCAAGAATATTTTTTATAAAAAACAAGAAAAAATGTATTTAAAAAATACTTTTAAATTGCATTGGAAAATGTATCTCTTATTAATATTCAAATGCTTTTAAGTATTTTTATCTTTTTTTCCTCAAATCTAGTAAACTAATATAAAAAACATTTCTTTAGATATTTTAAATTTGTCTATTTTTTACTTTATATAGTAGTATACGCATTATTATATCACTTTTATTAATAATAGATATAGTACATTGTACATATAAAAAAGGGATCTTTTTTATTAGAATGGACGGTTTCTTCGTCACAAAATATGTATATCTATCATCCTGAGATAAAAAAAGTTTAATTTTTAATCTCTTACTTATAATATTTTCAGAACTTTAATAGTGTAAAATATTTACCATCTAGTAGATCTTCTTTATCGAGATAAATAACGCAAAGAATTATTTAAAGAGGTCTCTATTTAAGAGTTTGAATGGGTGATTTTACCATTTTTAAGAATCTTTTCTTTTTTAAAATGAAAACACTTAGAATATTGATGCGCGCGCGCGCATGTGTATGTGTGTGTATGAGAAGAGGAAAGAAGAGAGAATGCCAATTGCGCTAAAATTTTCTATCTGTAATAACATCAATCGTTATAATACCGATAAATTGTTCGAATTTTGTGAATTTGCTTTGTAGAAAAATGTTCTTGAGATTATGAAGATTAAAAAAATTGTAAGAAAAAAAATCGATGTTTTCCGATACTCTAAATTCAAAAATCGATTATTCCGAATATTCTCAAACATGTAGGTTCCTTCGCATTGACTCAACAAATCGTATGAAGATAAGTTAGTATCAACGACAAGACTTCATATGAGTATTAAGGACAGTTCGTGTGATGAAACCCTTATTGCACCGAGGACAAATGTATGGTCGTTCGCCCGTGTGATATCGCTTGTGAACAACTAGAGTAGATCTCTGCGTGAAAGCTTTGCCGCACTGGTCACACGAATACTTCCGTTCTCCAGTATGTGTGACATTGTGGGTTCTCAACATGGTGTCACAGGCAAAACATTTGCCGCACACTTCACAGGTATACGGTTTTTCACCGGTGTGCGATCTATTGTGAATTTCGAGGCCCTTCGCGGTCTTCAGCTCCTTGCCGCACAGTGCGCAAAGGTACTTGCGCCTCTCGCAGTTCGATGGGACACCATGAGTCCTGACCTTGTGTTGCTTCAGCATCGACCTATACTTATAAATCTTGCCGCAAACGTCGCATTTGTGCTCGGACTCGTTCTCGCTAGATTCCTCAAACTTCTCGTCCGATGCAGGATCATAATGATAGAGACGATTGTGTTCCTTCAAACTGTACAACATGCTCTTATAAAATATATCAATGTCATCTTGATATTGTAAATTAATTGATTTAAAAAAATGTAATAGTATTTTTAATCTCAAAAAGAAAACAAAGTTTCATATTTTATTTTCTAAAGCAAGTCGAAGATAGGCTTTCGATAATAAATTAAACAAAAAAGGATGATTGTTTTAACATGAGACAATCAAGAAACGCAGAGTCAGAATTAAATTTCCTCCGAACATAAAGAATTTAGAAAATTTTAAACACATGGATTTTGATTGAAAAACGCTATAAATAAATTCAACAATAACAGTAGATTCAATGATTAAGAAAATATACCTGTACATGTCATTGAAGATGCTATCGCAAGTGTTGCAACGCTGCAGAAAATCGTGCGTCGACGCGTGTGCGATTAGAGCATCCTTGTCGACAAAATCTTGACTGCAAATCTCACACGTGAATTCTGAGGCTCGGTGACGTCGCCGTTTGTGTTTTTCCACATCTGTCACACTAACACCCATAAAGTTACACTGGGTGCACGGCACAGTCTTCGGCGTATGCGATTTCTTCACGTGAGCGTTAAGCATGAATTGCTGGGGATAATTCTTCCCACAGGTAACACACTTGAAAGGACGATGGATGCCATGCGCTATTCTGAGATGCGCAACCAGTCTGGTAACGAAGTGAAATTTTGCCTGGCACAATTCGCAGATCTTCTCACCATCTTCAAATCTGCAACCAAAACAGCAAGCGTTTGAATGATTATTATAGATAGAGCTTATTGTTATAGATCAACAATTTACTTACAATTTACTTACTAAAAAAATTACATTTACTTACTAAAACAATTTACTTACTAAAATAAATTACATCAGATCTATATAATTATTTTTATAACACAAATTGCTGTTATACACAAATAGAATATAATTTGAATTAATAAATAAATATCTACAAAGATATTTCATTAAAATATCGGAATTTCCGATTGAGAATCTAAAAAAATTTTAGAAATAAAAATTCAAAATTTATCCTTCTACACCAAATTAAATTAAATTTTTTAATTAAATTTTTGACACTTATTAGCTATATTTTTTAAATAGCACTGAAAAAAATAGTTAATTTTAAATCTTTTATCTAAAACCTAAATATACTATAATTTCTTACATTTTCTCGTGGGAATTATAAATTGAATTTCTCAAAATAAATTTTGAAATAAACTTGAACTTCTGCGATATTTGTAAATTCATTATCCTCTGTGAACTTGAAATGCACGCAAGAGATATATATTAACATACATTATGCAACTCACTTCTGTCCAAGATCAAACAAGTCCCCATTCTTCATCTTCAAATCGTGATTATTCGTCCACTGGCTGCAATGATCGATACACATTTACGTAAAGCGTTGTAGAAAGGTAACTGTAATTCTACTAACATTCATTCGTTACCTATAAAATCGATGCTTTTATAAAATGCGTTTCCGCAGCTGAAAAAAACTCACACAGATCGTAGAAAGTCACAAGTGACGAATGAGATTCAATCACAAATTTTAGAAACAAAATATCATTTCTAGTTCCAAAATTATTTATGTTACATTTATTACAAAATATTACAATCGCAGTCAACAAGTCAGTTCTAACTAGAGAGATCGAAATGTATCGGATTCGTCGTAAGTTTTCCATTTCATAGCTTAGGTTGCGTGATCTTCTCATGCATTTTGCGATGTCTCTTGAGCAAGGTATTGGACACAAATCCCTTACCACAATCTGGACATTGGTAAGGCCTTTGACCTGAGTGATATCGCAGATGAAAAACCAAGGATGTCCTCTGCGTGAAACCGCGGCCACACTGTGGACATATATGCGGTTTATCACCTGTATGCGTCCGTTTATGAATATTCAGATTCTCCTTACTGGCGAACCTCTTATCGCACATGTCGCATTCAAAAATTTTCTCGCCTGTGTGGCTGCATTTGTGCACTATCAGTCGTCTCATCGATGACAATTCTGCACCACACAGGTCGCACAGGTGCTTCGCCGGAACGTTCGTGAAGCCGTGCTGATTTTTCATGTGCCTGTCCAACAGTCTTTTATACACAAATCTCTCCGGACAAAACTTACACGCGTGCCTCGTCCTCGCGTTTCTCACAGTTACGGCGGTTTGTTTGCCAGTATGATGCATCCCTAGATGTACTAATAAATTCTTCTTGTATTTGTAATGCTTACAACAGTGTTCACAGCGATACGGATTCTTGTTGGTGTGCGTATTCTGGTGCTCTATATACTCGGTCCTGTAATAAAAGCCCTTGCCACACGTCTCGCACTTAAAGCTATAGTCCTTCGCATGTCGACGACGATGGCACTCCAGATTGGACTTCTGGTTAGTGCTATACTCGCAGAGATCGCAATTGAACACTTTCAGCCCTGTGTGAATTAGTTTGTGGCGAGCTATATTCATCGGGCTGCGAAATGTCTTGCTGCATTCATCACAGCTAAATGCCCGGTCGATGTTGTGCAGATTCTTCAGATGCTCCACGAGCTTCCGCGTATGACGGAAGCGAGCCCCACATTTGACGCATTGGTGAACGTCGCGCGATCTACCCCGTCTTTGCCTGAAAGGAGAGGAGAATAATGAAATATACGTTTCACGATGGAATTTTATAAAAATATAAAAAAAAAATTAATTGAAACAATTTTCCACTGAAAAATTAAGCTACATTTTTGTAATAGATTTGTAATAAAAATCTTAAACAATTTACTTTTACTTCCTCAATTTGTGTAAGCGTTACCTACCCTTTTCATCACTTTGTCTTCAACAAATAGATATGATAACATAAAAAAAAACCTTAACAATATATTAAGAAGGTACTGACGTAATAATTCTGAAAAGTTTAGCAGTTTTTCTATAAAATTGAAATAGAAACTGTAAATAAGAATAAATTATTTACGTCTTGTTATTAAATCGGCATAATATTTTTACGTTCGATTAAATTATTTAAGATTACAAAATTACAAGATTAAGTTTTGAAGATTACAAAATTACAAAATTTTGTAAATAAATTTAAAATATTTTATTTAAGATATTTTCAGGCAAATTTCAAAAACTAATTTTTAAATAGCTTTTATGAAATGATTTTTAAAAAGAAATTATTCTCTATAAATATATATATATATATATACATATATATATATATGTTAATTACAACTATTACAATATAATAAATACGCATCAGGCTTGTAAAATAAATATTGCAAAAACGAAAACATTGCATCTAGTTCGTTATTTTTAAATAATGGTTTTTTCATAAATTTCAAAACATAATGTTAAGATTATTGGATATCTTCTTTTTATTTTATTCGTTTAAAAGAAGTAAATACATAATTATTTATATATATTACATTATATATCGTAACCTTGTAAATAAAATAATTTTGAAATTTTGAGAAAATGTCGCGTGTATAAAAAATTTATATAACAATTAATTGGAATGATACATCTCCTAATATAAAAATCATTAATTCTGTGCGTTCCAGGTTTAATCCCGACTCTCTCATGCGCATGCTTGATTTTATAAAAGTTTCTAAAAAAGTTTTAAGTTTTGTGAATGAAGTAGTATGAAATGAATTTTAATCCGAGAATAAATTGATACGTACATAACAATTATAATTATATGTATATATAATGTACAAAATTCTCCTCTGTCTAAAATCTCATTTTTTTAAATACACGTCAATTAGTTTGATAATACATCTAACTAAAAATTATATTATTTAGAATTAACTTAATCGCGACATACAGAAGCAGACGTTGAGTAGACAGTAAAAATTTAGAATTCAGAAAATAAAATTAAACTTTCTTTTTAATTTTAAATTTTGAAATTTATGATATTAATGTTATTATTTTAGAAATTTTGCATTAATTATTTAAAAATATATTTCGAAGCTTTTAAGAATCAGTTGTTCCCTTAAAATAATCTTTGATATTCAGAGAAATAAATTAATATTAGAATAAAGAGAATAAATTGAAATTCATAAATTTATCACAATAATACGTCTTCGCGCGGGGTCATGTTCATTTTGGGATTAATGTAAACAAATTTAATGAATCTACGTTGGGGTAATTTTTCAAATATTTAGCTATCTACTTTATCTTGTTGCGTAGAAGAGACTAATTCCTGTGTAAATTCCATGATTATTTTCTTAATGGATACCACAGGCAAGGGCGGTAACGGTCCAGGATGCCGTTTCCTGTGACAAATAAGTCCGGGTTTCTGTGCAAAGGTATGTCCACATATGTCGCAGATATACGGTTTTTTGCCGGTGTGAATTAATATGTGTTGTTCTTGTGCAGTCTTTCGGGGAAAGGTTTTGCCGCAGACTGGACAAGAGAACGGTCGGATACCCTGATGAATCCTCAAATGAAGGTCCAAGTCCCTCTTTTGACCAAAGGTTTTGCCGCAGGTGGGACAGATGACCTTCTCTTTTCTTTCATGCCAGATCAAGTGTTGGTCGAGATACTCTTGAGTGGTAAGACCACGCTTGCATATTTTGCATTCATAAGCCGGTTTGTAATGTCGATACTTCATGTGCGCCTTGATAGCGGGAACGTTCTTGCAGGCATGTCCGCAGATGCTGCAGATAATGGGCGGTTCACCACTATGAACTTGATTCATGTGTTGTTTCAGGTCGTTTTTTATTTTGAACTGCTTATTGCAGACCGTACAAGAATGCTGAAAACCGCTAGTGTGTTTCCGTATAAAGTGATCCTTCAAGGTGCATTTGTTGTTGCTCTTGTAGTCACAGATGCTGCATGGATACAGGAGAGGTCCGTGAACGTTCATGATATGGCGCTTCAATTCTCGCTTCAGGCCAAAGCTCTGGCAACAAGTTTGGCATTGATATTTGTGCAAGCTCATGTGTTTTATCATGGTAGCTTTCTGGCTAAAACATTGGCCGCATGTGGCACATTCGAAGGAAAGTTTAGGTTTCTTTTTGTCGATTTTGTTTTGACTGATTTTGCTCTGTTTTCTCGTATCCTCTTTTATTTTTCTTTCTCTCCTAGCGATGTATCGTTTGATTTTATTTGGTAATAAATCGTACTCGGGTAAGCATTCTATGGTTTCGGACAAGTGTTCCACATTATTGGCGTCCATGACCAGAGGATCCACAGGTGAATCACTAAAACATAAATTACGAACAAATTAAATTTGATTACACACGATGCAAGACTTATCTCTGGATATTGAGCTTACTTACTTGAGATATTAAGAGTGTTGAATGATTTCCAGTATTTTTTTTTACACGAAAATATTTTTAATCTACAAAGAGAATGTAAAAAATATGAAGATATCATAAAATCAAATTCCAAGTAGATCATAATTTACGTAATGTAAATTATTTTTAAATATGATTCAATATTAATAAAAAATATAATTAGTGATTTAAAAAATGACTACTTAATAATAAATTTTATGATAAATTTTTTAATAATAAAATAAAAAATATTTAATCCAAAATCTTATCACTGACTGTCAAAAATACTTTCAAATGAAAGAAAGTAATATACTGTACATGATTGAATATTATGATTTATACAAAGACTAATTAATTACATGTTATACTTGAATACAATATTGATATCATGCATATATACACACACATATGTAAACATACAAAATACAATAGAAAATTGCAAAAAGGTATTCATACTTCAAAACTTGACATAAAAAAAATGTGCATATGTATTGCACATACACGCGCACACGCGCATATATTACGCACACACATATTCGTAGATGAGTCAATAAATAACTTTAATTTTTATCATCTTGAGTGTTACAAGCAAAATTAAGGTTGCGTACTGCCTGACCTATTTTATATATATTATATTATATGTATATATAATTATATATTTGTTCAAAAAGTGTATCTTTATTATACGTCATAGTCAAAATATCTCGGTAGATGTATACACTTATTGTATCTATTGTAATGTATACATTTACCAAAGTTACTTTGACTGTGACATATACATATATCAAAACCAATGTAAAAAGCAATTTTTATAAGCATGTAAAATATCTATATAAATATCATATTTATATCTACAAAATATATAAAAGTTATATGTAGCTCTTCTGTATAAATAAAAAATATTGTTTAAATAATAACTTTTTCAAATTCTTATTTTATCATCGCGATCTTTTTTATGCCAAATTTACTACCGATGTAATCACGAAATATTTAACATCCACAATTCATTTCATCATGTTGTACTAGAAATACTACAAATACATCTTATTCATATACATCTTATTCAATCTTTATGACCGCGTTTTTCATCGCGTATTCCTTCGTGAATTCGGTGACAATGTTCTTGATAGAGACTACAGGTAGCGGAGGCAGTGGGCCAGGATGCCTCTTTCTGTGACAGATCAAGCCGGGCTTTTGGGCGAACGTCTGACCACAAATATCGCAAATGTAAGGTCTTTTTCCGGTATGGATCAACACATGTTGTTCTTGAGCAGTTTGCCGCCGAAAAGTCTTTCCGCAGACAGGGCAGGGAAATGGCTTCACTCCAGTGTGTACTCTCATGTGTGAGTCCAAATCGCGTCCCCGGAATCTTTTGCCGCAAGTCGGGCAGAGGACCTTCTCCCTAGTTTCGTGCCACATGAGATGTTGCTCTAAGTTCTCCTGCGTGGTCATACCTCGTCGACATATTCGACAGACAAACTCTGGTTTGTAGTGTCTATATTTCATGTGGGCCTTGAGAGCGTGGAGGTTTTTACTGAAATGACCGCATACGTCGCACACAATCGGCGGAGCTTCGCTATGGTTTTGCTTCACATGATGATTCAGAGCCTTTTTTATTTTGAACTGCTTGCCGCACGTATCGCACGCGTAGTCATAGTTGTTCGTGTGTAGCCGGATGTAGTGATTCTTCAAGGTTCCCTTGTTGTTACTCTTATACTTGCACACGCTACACTCATACATCTGCTGTCGATGATTCTTCTCAATATGGGAGGCCAGATAACGCCGCAGGCTGAAGGTTTTCGGGCAGTCGACGCATTTGTGTCTGTGTTGCTTCAGATGTTCGGCGAGGTTACTCTTCTTCAAGAATTTACGGCGACAGTGGTCACACTCTACATACATCTTCTTCTTTCTAATCGGTCGATTCTTTTCAGTTATGATTTGCTGATTAAGTTCTTCTCTCATTAAATTCATATTTATCTCTGACAGTCGTTCTTCACGTTTTATTAACGATTTTTCTCTTTCCGTCCGCTCACATTCAATTCCGACGAATGATTTTTGGATATTGGATTCAACGTTCAACGGATCCACTCTAAAACATAAAAAAGCAAAAATTCGCGTTAACCATTAACTATAAATCAAAGGAAGGATTGCTTATACACCTGTCGAATAAAATCATCGGGTGGAGGAGGAAGTAGCTGGGAACAATTTATAATAATCATTGGAAGCGATTTAATAAACATTCGGATGTTTTATTGTCGTTGTTCTTTAAGTTACCTTCCTAAACGTGATTAGAAGTCTTCGGAGATTTGTGAAAATTAAATATCAGCTTTTCATAATGCAACACAAAACTCTCGGATCACCTAAAAAAAGAGTGCTTATCAGTACCATAATTAATTATTTGGCATAATTAATTAATGGCAAATAGTAACTTACCTGGTAACGAATAAGTAAATTCTACAGATCAATGTATAATTATCGGGAAATATAGAATAATCAGAAACAATTTGGAAAAAAACGATTTGAATTAATTGTTCATATATTTAAAATAAATTCGCTGTACATGTACGAACTAATACATCAAACTGCGTTTCTTACAAAATATAACATCACATAACATCATTAACAGAAATTCGTAATATACTCAAGCAAAAATAAAGACGTCTTATCCTATAATTGCAATTACTGAAGACATTTATAGTAAGATCACGTACTTATATTGAAAATTTATCTTCAAAAAAGTTCTATATCTTAAAAAAAAGTAACGTTTAAATAAATGATTTAGTTAGTACTTTCTAAATTTAATCGTCAGACTTCGAATTAAGTATTTGGTAAGTTTTTCGTTTTGCTAATGTAATTCTTAACAAATTCACTCACGATGCCTATCACGGGTATAACCGGCAGTTTTCCGAGCGGTCCAGGGTGCATTTTTCTGTGCCATAATAGGGCAGCTCTTCGCGAATATCTCAGTCCACATATGTCGCACGCATAAACGTTACTCATGTGCGTCAAAATATGTTGCACTTGATTCGCCCGTTTGTCGAAAGCCTTCTGGCAGACCGGACAGATGTAAGGATTGACGTCGCCATGGATGACCACGTGTTTATTTAAATTATTTTTGGTGAGAAAAGTTTCTCCGCATGTTGTACAAATGTAACTATCCATATTTCGCGTGCCTTCATGCCGTCGTAGGTGCTTCTCCAGGGAATCCATGGTGTGAAGACGTCGCTTACAAATCTCACACTGATAACCAGTCTTCAGGTGAATGAGCTTGGTGTGTGCCTTCAACGCGGTGAAGCTATTGTAGATACGTCTACAGATGGTACATCCTACCGAGAGTTTTGTGTGCTGGCTATACATGTGCCTCTCTATTGCATACTTCGACTGGAATTCCTTATTGCAGGTGGTGCACGTATTGCAGAAAGGGTCTACCAATAAGTGGTTTACGACAAGGTGCTTCTTCATGTCCGCCTTGTTCCATAAAACAGAGTAGCACAGTTTACAGGTATATTTAGGCTCGCCGTGATGCACGACCATGTGATGCTCTAGCTTCTCCGATGTAACGAAAAGCTCGTTACATATTCTACATGTATTCTTGTGAAGATGCATGTGCTTTTTTAAATTTTCCTTCGTACGGCACGGGAACGAGCAAATATCGCAGCAATAACGTAAGCGTTTCATTACACTGCGGTTTTCTTTACTGCTATCCGTGTTGATTATATCGACGATATTCGAAGATGTGTTGATAAAGAATGCGTGAGAATCCCGAATGCCTTCACTCTTGATTTCGTCCATTTCTAGCAAATCAAACCTACGACATAAAAAAATTCTTTGTCAAGAAATATACAAAAATATGAGAAATGTGCCTCACTCGCTTATACTATTTTCCTTTAAAGATTTAAAAATTTCACTTTGACAAAAAATTTCGATTATAGTCAACTTTAACGGAATGAGCTCTCTTAACATTCTATAAAAAATTTCAAAGCTTCAAAAATAAAGATTGTAGAAAATTTTGCAGTGTCTTTTCAACAATTATTAAATTTATTATTTTAGCTAATATTTCAGTATTTTATTATTTTACAATAATACAAAATATTAACAAATCGCATCTTTCTTTAATATAGATATTACGATTGAAGATACTTAGAGAACTATACAGAAGGTTTAGTGAAATAACAAAAATTCATAAGATAGCATTGTTAATATTTTATTATCATTCATTATTTTAACAATTTTAGTACTGTCTTTAGAGAATATGTAAATGTCATGTCAATAACAAAAATACAACGTACATACTTTCTTCAATTAAAATAAAACATCACAATTAGTTTTTAATCTAAAAACTTAAATACAAATATTTTTAATAAAAGAAATAACAATCAATATGAATATACATTTATAAGAGTAGCGCTCATAAATATTTTAATACTGATATGTTGTATTTCACAAAAAGTTAAATATCTCGATGAAAAAAAATCGTAAAGAAATTTTCGATCAAGCATTGTAAAACGCAAAAATAAATCTTTAAATTTGTACTTAAATTTTGTTCTACAATACTTTGTTTCTAAATTACAAAAAATACTTTTATATTATATATAGTCCGATGTTTCATCAAACTGCAGCACTTTAAAATAAGACAAAAATATTGCAAAAAATATTTAATTTTATGTAATTTAGGAACAAAATGTCGTAGAAAAAAATTCAAACATAGATTTAAAGCCCTATTTTTGCAATGCATAGTCAAAAACTTCTCTACGATTTTTTTTATTGAGTATTTAACTTTTCTTAAAGTGTGACAAAAATATTAGTAATATATCAAAATATTTATAAGTGCTATTATATATACACATATACAAATTATATTAATATTATTAAATCGACAATACTTGCATCAAGATGCGTTGTTCTAAAATGTTTTATTTAGCAAAATATTTTTTAACAAAATATTCTAGTACAATAATATAAACTTTTTCTTCTCCTTGCAAAAATTCTCTCTCTACTACGTAAATAAATCCTTTTAAAACTAAGATCTTTTTAATACTCGTATTCATAGTCAAGTTTTGTATTTAAGGCTACTTAAATAGGTTTGATTACAAACACGGACATTTGTCTTAGTTTTAAAAAGATTTATTTACATAGTCTGACACATTGCACGAATTCGTTTTTCTTCTTCTAAGGCATTAATTCCTCTTTTCCATTTTCGTCTTCAGCAGGTTTTTCAATAAGATAATCTATTGATATTGTAGACAATCAAGATAAAGGATGATTCTTCCTATGTATGATCAAACTTCTACTTGAAGCTTTGACTGTAGACGTCGCAGATCTGATGTTGATACACATCAGTAGATGCTGTTATTACTTGTTTTGTTATTACTTGTTCTGGATCTCTTGCCGTGCAGCCACACGTCATGACACCATCGTCGTGATACCTCACGTGCGTCCTTAAGAAGTTTTTGCTGTTCAAGGTCTTACTGCAGTAGACGATAGTCTTTCGGCTATTGTACAACTTGCTGTGCAAGCAACTTTTATGACTTCCTCTTATACGCATGCCAAAAAAAAACCTATTGTAAATGCGACTCATATGCTGTCTTTTAAATAGATACTGGTACTTGCCGTATAGGTCGCATATTGTTTGGCGATTGCATTTATTGCACATGCCTATGGAATCCTTCTTTGGCAGACATTACACACATATATAATTCTAATACTCTCATAGCATCCACTTGTATGTGTAGGCAATATCATAGCGAAATGATATGCATTTATGCATTTCTTCGATAATTCAAAAGAATTTTTAATAATAACAAATTGATAATCTCAACTCAAGAGATGAAATTCAACTTCTTTGCAATGTCCACGGAAATGAAGATAACTCCTTCTATGACTTTTCAAGCTATGCCTTAAGAATAATAAGATGATTGCCATTGTAGATCCAAATTCTCTTGCTCAACTTCTTTTTCCTGACTATATTTCTTGAATGTTTTTTCACTATAGATTTTCACTTTATGCTTAGATAAAATAAAGATAACGAATATGGTTTTCTTGACATATATTTTTTTTTGTATATACAAACTTACTTTTAATTTGGATTTTTCTACTTCTCGGGAAATCGGAACTGCGACAGACCGTTCTTCGTTGTATTTTAAAGAATCCATACCGATTATATTCCTAAAAGTTTCAGAAAAAGATTATTATTTTTATCATTAAACTCTCAACATATCTGATTAATGCAAAGTATACTTACGTATATTGCGACTTTATGAAATGTTTCGTAAAATTTGAATCATTTTCGAAAGTGACATAGATATCCAATAAGCAAATTGTTAGCAAATTGTCGCTAGATTAACATCAAACTTGCAAACAGAATTGATAACAAATTCGGTGTGATTTGTATTAACAAAACTTGTATTTTATTATTTGGTATCTTTTTGTCGATAAAATTTGTAGTAAATACTACAAAATTTGTTTTCACAGACTTGGCTGACTGGGTAAAAGTTTAGTTAAGCATAAGCTATTACAACAGGATCACAATGTTAATACTATTAATATTCTTTAACTGAATATATTATATATGCTAACTAAATTTATTATTATCTAAGTATAATTTACAATCAAAAATTATCAAAAATATTTCTTTAAAAGAGAAATCTATGTTCCTGTGCACATAACTTACTAACTAGTCTAACTTTGTTGAACACACTGGAAAAAATCTGTTTGCATTAATTGGAATTCTGTTTGAAAATGGACAAATCAAAATGTTCTGGTTCAATCTATTGTAACTCTACTAAAGATAATCAAAATTCTGATTGATATGATCAAAATTTTTTGATTTCTGATCTATTTCAGAAATTTGTCTCAGTGCAGTTATATATTAAAAGAAATAATTCTGCTATATGTCTTTCACATATGAAATCAATCAATGTAAAATTATTCAAATTAATATTAATGTATCCTCTAAAGAACATGTATCGTGCAAAAATCGATAATAATTATTTAATTTTATGTAACATAAAACAATATTTAATATATAGGGTTTATTTTAATCCATCCAGTAAAATATTTCAAAATTCTTAAGTTAAGACAAAACTGTTTTAGACAAAAGTTGCTTAGTTACTAGGGGGAAAGAAAATTAACCTTGAAAAGATGTCTCTAAGATAATCTTACTGTCAAGTGAAGATTACTTAAAATTTTTTAAATAGAATTGTATATTTTTTTTTACATTATATGATTTCTCTAATTATTCTGCATATAAAAGTATTAAAGTAGAGATATCGAAAAATCAATGATTTTCGAGTAATATTATAATATTTTATTCTAGCACATTGACATGAAATATTAAATATCTTGTAAACTGTTCATTTTTAATAACCTTAATTCTTTTATGCATAGAATAATGATAAATCAATTGATGTAAAAAAACATAGTTGCTAATAAATAAAATTATGTAATTCTCATAGAGCATAGCAGCACTTGTAAAGCACTAAAAAAGCGATTATATAAGCTTTTTTAGCGCTTTTGTTAATGCTTTGTAAGCACTATGTGCTTTAGGATTATATACTGCAAAATATATAATTTTTTAAATAAACTATGTGTTTTCTTTACACCGATTGATTCATTTCATTATTTTGTACATAAAAGTACTACAATTATCAAAATATGAATAGTTTACAAGATGTTTAATATTTTATGTTAATATGTGCCCCAAAATAAAATATAAAATAGCTCGAAAACTATTAACACATCTACCTTAATACTTTTCAATATATATCTACCTTAATATTTTTATGTAATTAAAGAAATCATATTATGTAAAAAAAACTACATAATTTCAATTAAAAAGTTTTAAATAACTTTCATTTGACTCTAGGGACATCTCAAGGTCACTCAAAATCACTATCTTCTTTCCCTTTAGCAATTTTTTTTTTAAACTTAAGAATTTTTTAAGATAAATTAAGAGATTCTACTGGATAGATTAAAATGGATTCTATATAAATACTGTGCTACATTTAAACAATTAATTCATATTCTTATATAAAAATGAAAATATTTCTCTACATATAACACTATTTCTACGTAATAGAAAATTTTACTATACAATAATATTATAAAATAGTTATAAAAATTTTATTATACAGCAATTATATATATATGTATATATATGTTATCAAATATATTTAATTTTAGCACGATATACTTTTCATTCAAAAAAATTATCATTTTACGAATTCTAAGAGACATTCTCTAAGATAAAAAATAAGAAAAAAAAAATATTAATAATCTGGATACATAATAATGTCTCGGTATATTTTACGGAATTTACTTTTAATTATGACTGAGGGTTCGAAAAGGAAATTTTTAAACTAGATTAAATAAAAAGATATCTTTCAAATAAAATGATATTTTATTTAAAAGATGACAATACAATGTCAAATTTATATAATTTCATTTAATATTATATAATTTTGTTATATTGTTTTTAATTTATCTTCAAAAATATATTTCCTGATCGAACTGTCAGAGTAAATTGAACCCTTTAAAAGAATAAAATATTTATCTTAATGTGGTAAAACAAAAAAAGACATTTCTTATTCGTAAAAAAAGCACTTTTTGAAAATCATTATTGATTTATAAAATCAATTACTAATTTTTCTGTTTAATTTTTAAATCTAATCTTAAATAACAGAATAAATAATTGAGTATCTGTTCATTATCTTATATTCTTTCCAATTGTAAAATTTTTTAATTATCATGCACAGATTGCGAATCCGAATTTATATCAATGAATGAAATAATATATGAAATATTCGTATAAAATATATTTATAATATAAAAGAGAAGAAAAGAAATAAGATTTTTAGTGTAACGATTACATGTTCTTTTTACATTTACCTTCTATTTAAATTTATCTTTTGTAAAATAATGTTACATTGAAGAGAAAACTTACATAACTTTAATTTATCAATTGTACTTACATTACTTTATAATTAATTTGTATTATTGTAGCTATTATTGTACATTGCATTCTTTTTCTACTTACAAAATCATCATTTGCAGCAATAAATAAATTGTATCATTGGTCTTATTTTCCTTTAACCAATAAAATAGCATTAAGAATACACTGTTCAAAAAATGGCATAAAATATTTTGAACATAGATTGGTCAACTTTGCCCAAAATTGCTGACATTATCTGCATTACCAAATATGCACTACGGCGAGGTTGCTGGATGGATTTTGTATATCGTGCTACTGAGTATATACTGTAAACTTCAGTAACTCATGTTGCCTCCGCGTTGATCGATTACTGCTTGCAGTCGACTCCTCATATTAATGCAGGCCCTACTTTCTTTTTGTAATGTCATTCCAGATTTGTACCAGAGCTTGTGACAGTCTCTGAGATTGATAGATTGTCTTGCCAAATTTCTTAACACGCAACATATCCGGTAATATAGATAATATCGCAGTTAATAGTATATGTAAAAAATACGAGAGCTATTTTAAAGTGTTATAACTTTGCAAAAAAAATTGCATCAACTTGTTTTTTTTTTTGGGGATTAAAGGGGAAAGTTCAAACTTTATGTCGTTGCAAATGACATTCCCAAAAAGTTTTACAAAATCCGTACAAATTCCGTCAAACTTTGCAATTTTCAATATGACAAACACATCCTCATATTTTGAGTTATAGTAGTAGAGATGCATTAAATTTAAAATTTGACCGTAGCGTCTTAAAGTAAAGCTTTAATTGGGGAGAAAAAAAACCATTATCTTTCAATGTAATTTTTCACAAAATTATCATCAGTCAAAGTTGGTCAATTTTTATCCAAAATTTTTCTATGCCATAATTTTTTTTAGCAGCATGTATTGAATAATAACCAAATAAAAATTATCGTCGAAATAATGTATAGCTATATTTCTTCAAGTATAGCTATATAATGTATACTATTTAATGTATAGCTATCTAATATATAGCTATATTTCTTCTTAATAAGTCCACAAATATAAATGTTATGACGTTATATAACATTATACAATTCGAAATGTATTTTACTGATTAAAGAAACGTATAGTTTTAATTTTACTGTAACAATAATCATCAGATGCGAAAAGCCGACATAAGTGATAAGATCAGTTCTTCTATTCTTAGAAAGATGTAATTTACAATTGCTAGCTACATATCTACATTTAAACTTATTTATTATATATATATTCAGTATCCTAAACGATTATTCAAACTTTGGAAATAATGAAATAATTATACATTACAAACAATCATATTCTTATCGTTAACGGAATATTTTTATCAGTACATTCTTATTACATTGAGTAATTACTGGTCAAATTTTAAAATTGTAACTATTTTTTGACGTTTATAACTTCTATAACATTATATGTAGATTTATTAGCGATAATTATAAAGAATTTCATAATTCGATAAAACTGGATTTTTAAAGAAATAAAATTAAATAATTACGTGAAGAAATTTGAATAATCGACAACTTGTTTACTGATATTTTTTCTTTCTTTATTTTGAATTTTCAGAATCACGAGTTTTATTGACACTTAACTCTCCATTTTTCTATTGTTCATTGTTTAGATTTTTCTCTTTTGCTTTCACTTTTTACATTTGTCTAAAACGCAAAAACAATATGCCAAAAAAATAAATAATTAATAAAAAACAAATAGAGGAAAGAGTAAACAATATGAAAATTGAAAAGAGTCTAATTGTATTATTAAAATACATGTATAGTAATCGATACATGATCCTGCATGAAAACATAAGACATACAAATAAAAATTCCGCTTGTAATTGTCGCTTAAGCTGTTAATATTTCTGTACTAACAATATGTACATGAAATTTATCAATTCTTATTTTTATTCCGTAATAATCACATGCTTTTGCTGTTTTAGACACTAGTAAAAAAATATATACTTCAACATATATTCACACATGACGAATTAAATGTTCAATACTTCTTCCTCATTGGTCTCCTCTTCGTTTTCTGGCGCGTTCATTTCCTGTACATATCCATCAGTGAATTCTTTAACAAAATCTGCGATTGGCATCACGGGTAACGGCGGATGCTGGCCAGGATGAGTTTTTCTGTGGCAGATCAAGCCTGGCTTTTGCGTGAATGCTTTGCCGCATATATCACATACAAACGGACGCTTGCCGGTATGAATAAGCAGATGCTGACGCAACTGGGATCTTCGCGCGAAGGGTTTGCTACAGATCATACAGGAATGCGGTTTACATCCTGTATGTACCACCATGTGCCTCTTGAATGAGTCTTTCTTTGTAAAAGTTTTACCGCATTCCGCGCAGACTATTTTGTCACGTTTTTCATGCTGCGTCACCAAGTGTTGATCCAGATTTTCTTGTGTTACCATACGTCTTTTGCAGATGTGACACTCGTATTGAGGTTTGTAGTGTGCCCACTTCTGATGGACGTAAAGCGAGCCGGAATTAAGGCACAGTTTACCACATACGTCGCACTTGACCGGCTTCTCTTTATGATGAAATCGTATATGATTCGTTAGATCCCCCTTGACCTTAAACTTTTTTGAGCAGAAATTGCAGTGATGCTCGTACTTGTCCGTATGTTTCCTCGTAAAGTGAGACTGCAAGGAATGCTTCGATCTGCAAATAAAGCCGCAAGCACTACAAGGAAATTTCGTGTTGGTAGACCGTCTCCGGGACTTCCAAGTTTCATGCTTCCTGTCCAGGTGAGCAGCAAACAAACTCTTCTTCTGAGTTTTAAAGCCGCACACAGCGCATATGTAAGCGTCGTTCTCTCTTATGCACATCTTCTTTTTATGATTCCATGCTACGTGTTTTCTAAAGGCTAAAATCGTATCAAATGTGTCCGAGCACAATTTGCACTTCATAGCCTCACTGGAGTTCTTGGCAGTTTTCATACGCGATGCTTTATTGCCAGGGGAGGGAGCAATGCTAGAGGGGAGAGCAATGCTAGGTACATCTAGCATTGCTTCCTCAAGATATTCTATTTCTCCCTCATCATCATTTATATCCTCCATCTGATCTTCGGTTGTTTTCCCATCTGTCTCTGTATTGGACGCAAGTTTCTCGATAGTCACCATACTGCCCTCTACTTTCACCTGATATAAATCTCCAGCAGTTTTGCCATCCACAGCTTCACTGATGCCGTTTAGTATGATCGGTTTTATATCCAGTTCCTCTATTGCCTCAACATTTTCATTAAGAATGCTCCCAACATTGTATGATTTCTGTTCCGTACAAACGTATTCCTCCTCCGAATAATTCCGTTTTATATTATCTATATCAATATTCCCATTTTTTATTATTTCTACTTCCTCCTCTAATGATTCTACTTGATCTAGTATATCCTCGTCCGGTAAAGGCACATCGCCTTCAGGCACAAACGCATAATACGGTTTGCCATCAAATTCCAAAATTTGCCACGTCTTCATTACCAGCGATTCATTACCAAAGATGAAAATGCCACGAGAATTATACGTGTCTTGGTGCCTGAAACATCACGGAATGAAATAATTATTAGAACAATTATATGTGATTTTTATTTTATACCGCAAAAAATTATAAGCTAGAAGTTATCATTTATTCTATAATATAAATTTAATCAGAGATCACAGATCAACGAAGGTACTCACAAACGAGGAGCTAAAACTACCCTTCTTGTTGATCAGCATTACACTCCGTTGCAACCTACATTAGTTACGAAATTATCATAAAATGGGAAAATTCGAAACAAAATATTAAAAAAAAAATAAAGTATTGCACACAAGTACACATCCAGTATAATCAATACAATTTATTTTAACAATTTTAGAAGTATCCAGTTAGAGTTAGCTTATTTCTAAATAATACATCATATTATACTACTAAAAACATTGATGAGAAATGAAAAATGGGTCAAGTAATATTTAGAACATAAATAACAATAAAATACAAACTATAAATGTCTCATAAACAATGTTGTTTATAATTGCAATTGACTTAAAATTCGCATAATTGTGATGCTTAAACTTTAAAAGCAAATTAAAAAAAAAATAAACGTAAGTTTATCACTTTTTTAATTTTTGCGTATTTTTAAATAATGAAATATTTTTATATTTATATATTTTTGAATAATGAAATATTTGTATATTTATATATTTTTATATTCTTTTATTTACATATTTTTTCGAAAAATTAAAAATTTCAAGGTAAAATTTTAAAACTCATATATCATAAAATAAAGTGCATCAAATTAATGAAAATATTAAACTCAATGCAAAAATATTAAATCAAAATAAGAATTAAGAAGCTTTACATATCTCGTAATATTAGAAATCATTCATAACAAGTTTCGTATTACTATTATCTATTGTAAACTTTGTGATTTTCGTAAATTTCATTTTTACAACTGAAACTGATTTTTACAAATTTTGTTTTTACCACAAGTTTTTATAACTTTTTATAAAAATGTGCTAATTCTATTCATTTAAATTTTTCGTATCTTTTCTGTATTAACGCTATCAGTCATAATATATTACAAGCCTCATATTTAATACATTAAATGCCTCGTAATTCGTTTTTGTTTTATATTTCAGCGACCAATAGTATGATTTTATTGCATGTAGACACATGTAATAATTATTTATTTAAAATTATTTAAATTACTTATTTAATCATTTTAATCGTTACGAGAGAGAAAAAAAAAACAAAAGATGAAGATTGCAAAGCACCGATGACGTTTTCAAGTTATGCGATTTTATTTCTTAATGAATTCCTTCAGTATATGGTCGATATGCATCACCGGTAAGGGCGGCAGATCGCCCGAGTGAATTTTCCTGTGACAAATGAGACCAGCCTTTTGAGCAAACGTCTTGCCGCATACGTCGCACGCATAGATACGCTCGCCGGTATGCAGAAGGAGATGCTGACTCAGGCTGCTATGCCTGGCAAACGCTCTGCCGCAGACTGTGCAGTTGTACGGCTTGTCGCCTGTATGAATTCTCATGTGCTTCCTCAAATCGTAATTTTCGAAGAAGGTCTTGCCGCATTGCTCACACACCGACTTTTCCTTCCTCTCATGCTGCGTCAGCAAGTGCTGATCTAGATTCTGCTGCGTTACGAGTCGTCGATGGCACAACGGACATTCATATTTTGCCTTGTAATGCGCATGTTTCTGATGAGTGTACAGACTGTGGCTATTTCGGCAGGTCTTGCCGCAGACACCGCACACCACCGGTGACTCCTGATGATTTAACCGGGTATGGGTGGTGAGATCACCCTTAACTTTGAACCCCTTGCCACAATGCTCACACGAGTAAGCGTAATGTTGAGTATGTTTACGGATGAAATGTGACCTCAGGCTCTCTTTGCGGGTGAACACCAAGCCGCAGACGACGCAGGTAAACTCGCGCTTGTCACCGGCGAATCTGTCATTGTTCGCGATACCGTCGTGCTTCTCGGCGAGATGTGCAATCATCGTGGATCTCTTATTGCAGCGAAAGTCGCATGTTACGCATGGGAGAGGTGCCTGCTTTTGCGGCACCTCGTCAGTGAATGTAGAATTTTCTTTCACGTCCGTTTCGCATCCGCGCATAATCTCCGCCGTGTGCGTGAGCTCATGACGTTTCAGTAAGTACTTGCTCTTGAAGTATTTAAGACAGACGTCACAGACGAACGGATTGCATTTTTCTTCACAATCCTCCTGTGACTTCTTTTCTTGTTTACATGCAAAAGTCGATGTTTTTGCTCCAGTTTTATTCGTCACCGCTTCGCTGGCAAAAATATCCGCTGTCGGCTTCCTACAACATTACAAAGATATATCTTTATTACGGTTCTACAGCTGGCAAGTATACAGATCTTGGACTACTTACATTCAAATCTAAATTTGCGAAGACACATTGGTACGAGCAGAATTAAATTTATTCTCACCCCTCTACTCGGGGTTTAAAAACAAAAATTTTGTTGATGTGGGAAGCTTATAGGATAACAATGGCATTTTTTCGTTATGTAATCACAGCTAAAGCTATTTTTTTTTCGTCTTCTGATATTTGAAGACAAAGGTAGCCTTAGCTGTGATAGCTTCTGGTTGGATAACGAAAAAACGCACCAGATTAATCGTAATGGATCACAGAAAGATTGCAACATTTTTTTAGATGAGTTTCGGAATGCACTTTGCTCAACTGGAGCGATTGGTTTTTATCAATTTTACTCATATGGATTTAACCAGTTACGTTTAATTGCTCTATGAGCTTTAGCTCCGAAACCTATTAAAAAAAAAGTGTTGCAACCTTTCTATGACTCACTATACATAATATTAAACTATTAAATATATTAGCATACTATAATTTTATAATATATATTCATATAATATTAGAAAATAGAATAAAACTGTTACAGCAGAATTGTAAATTAAAGTGCAAATTTATAACTCGATGAATTTGTAATAATTGTTTATCATTTCAGATTTCATACATAATTCTTAATCCTGAATGTTTCATATCGTGAAAATTAATAATAAAAGAATTGGAAAGTTATAAGAATGAATTATTTCATAAGAGTTACTTGTGATTATTTTCAATCTATAAATTTGTAAACTTCTACAAAATTAAAAAAGAATGCTATAATTTAAAAATTAATATTTAATAATTATATGTTCTAAAAATATTTTTAGTCATCTATCAAAATTAATAGAAATCGAAAAAAATATTCTTATAGTAAGATCTCATAATCATAGATTTTTCTTCAAGACAGAAACAAAAATTATTCCAAAAGCACTATAATTGACCTTCCTGTAATAAAAATAAAAAATAAATATTAATATAATGTTTCCATAAAGATATTTGATAAATTCTACGTTATTTATGTCAATTTGAAAAATTAAAATAGGACATATATTTTGCTATTATTTTATGAAAATAAGGATTGAAACACATCTACCTTCAATTTCTGTAAATACAGAAATTCTGTAAGTTCCTGAAATTCTCTTAATATGTAAATCTTTTATTTAAAAAAAATTGTGAATAAATATGTATGATAAAGTCTCTTCTTGACATGTGAACTGAAGTAAATAAATTATTCTATTCTATATAATTTGTTATACTTACATATAATTGTTAATTACTATTTATGTATCATATAAAACAAATTTATGAAAGTATTTTATTATGATTTATTTCTCATAGTATAAATTGTATTTATAAAAAATTTTGTAAGATTTTATGAAAAAATATGCGATATTAAATTGCAAATAAATTTTCTCCATTATTCACAGAGATTATTTTTATTGACATACTACTGTTTATCACACTATAACATTTATAACTTTATATCTCATTATTATGCGATATTCACGTAACAATTATAACGATCATAAAACTTATATTTATTTGAAGATTATATAGATATTATTTTTAATCATGTTTATAAAGTAAACAAAATGATCTACTATATCTTACATACATATACACACATACATACTATAATATGAATATTAAAGATAACCAATGAAAAGTACTAGATAATAAAATGATAAATGTATATTTTGGATTACACCTCACCGATGTGAAGGTTTCCTCTATTGTACCTCCCCCCTTCCTAGAGTCGTCCGACTTTTCACGTGAAACTAGATTCACCCCACCTCCCCTTTCTGTCTAGAGAAATAACTTCTTGTCATGCATAATATCAATGTCGTTCTCTACATATTATGGAACTTTAATTTATTATGTCTCCTAAACGATTCAACCGTCTCTCACTTAATTCTTGTGGAAAATTACTCAGAATACTCTTCCCTGAGCAACATACCTGAGCTGCGTTCGAAAATGTTACCCGAGTGTTTCCATATATCGTTTTATTCTTATTGCTCACTTAATGTTAAACAAGAATAATATGATACATGGGAACACCCTGGTAATGTTTTCGAACCCTGGAGGACGTTAAAATCGGAAGTGTAATTTAAAGTATACATTTATCAATAAAATTACAAATTAAATTTTTAAAACATAATCTGAAATTGTTAATATATATAGTGACGAAGTTCTATACTATTTTTTTTTAAATGAGTGTCTTGGTGAAATTATTCCACGTTTGGAATACTTTTTCACTTCTTCATAAAATCGTTAAGAATGTGATCGATATGCACCACTGGTAAAGGAGGATGCTCTCCAGGATGACATTTTCGATGACATATTAATCCAGGTTTTTGCGCAAAAGCTTTCCCACAAATATCACAAATATACGGTCGTTTTCCCGTATGAAGTAACAGATGCTGCCTGTAAGCAGTTCTACGCGCAAAAGCTTTGCCACAGATATGACAGTCATACGGTCGGTCACCGGTGTGGGTCATCATATGCTGTTTCAATCGGTGATTGTCATTGAAAGATTTACCGCACTCTTCGCATGTGAAACTCTTTCTGGACTCGTGCTGTAGAAAGATATGTTGATCCAAATTCTCCTGCGTGACCAAACGCCTATTGCAGATTTCGCATTTATATTTGGGCTTGAAATGCGCCCACTTTTTGTGCACATACAGTGAATTAGTGTTGGAGCAGGTCTTATTGCAGATATCGCATACTACTGGGTCCTCCATGTGCTTGAAACGTACATGCAATCTCATATCGCTTTTCACTTTAAATTTCTTGCCGCAATGCTCACAGTCATATTTATACTCGGATCCGTGTTTGCGATCGAGGTGCTCTTTTAACCGTCGTCGATTTGGGGATTCAAATCCGCAAAAGTTACACAAGTATTCCTGCGGCTTTTTTCTTCGTTTAATTACACGATTCGTGGAATGTTTCCTATTAATATGAGAATAAAAGGTCGATTTGTTGGTACTTTCAAAGGTACAAAAACTGCAGGTGAACGTAACAATATCTTTATCCTGTTTATGCATTAGATCCCAATGAAACTTTAACATCTTCATCATGGGAAAGGAAATATTGCACTTATCACAAGTATAGACCTTGGTCTCCTTCTTATTATCAAGTTGATCTTCATCCGAATCTAACTCGTCTGCCGACAAGACTTTCTTGTTTTCCGTATTTATTGTATAGACATCGTTCGATACGTCTGTATAAATTACACTGTTATCGTCTGTAATTTCTAAGTTTACCATATTATCAGTCCCGATTTTCAATATTTCAACAATCTGTTTCTGATTGTATTGATTCTCTTCTGTTTTTTTTGATATGTGATTTACTGGAAGAAAGGCATAACAGAGACATCCTTCTAAATCAACTACTTTCCACAGTTGCATTGGAATAGATTCTTTGCCATATAGAAAACATCCATTTCCATTTATGACCCTGAAAATAATACAATATGTTAGTTAGAAATTTTATTATCGAATAAAAATAGTTTTAGTTTTATTTCATAATTTTGTTTCTTTTATTTTTCTAAATAAATTTAATATTTGAAATTGAGAATAAAGGTTTTTATATAAATAGATGAGGTACACATTTCAGATAAAATATAAGTTATGATTTTGTTAATTATTTATATATCATTTTCCAATTATTTCTTCTATCTCTCAAAAATTACAATCAACAGCTAAGTCAATAGTTACACTTATTTCTAGTGTAAGCAAAAATTTGTTTTATATTAATTTATATATTCTGTAACGCTAAACAGTTAAATTACATTCGATTACAGCTAATCATACACACACACACACACACACACACACACACACACACACACACACACACACACACACACACATATAGGGTATTTGGAAAATAATGATAAATCTTTCACATAGAGGCAGAATGGACTAAACTGAGAAGAAAAGTCCTCTTTTCTTTTCTTTTCATAGAGGTCTAAAAATTTTTTTTAGACTTTTTCAGAATTTTTTAGTACCGTATTTTTTTCAAGTTATTAAAAATGAAAAAATGCTATATTAAAAAGTTGATAAAAAATTCTAAAAAAATTCGTAGACTTCTATGAGAAGAAAATAAACAATTTTTGTCTCTTGCAGATTTTCTGTAAAGTTGACAGTATTGTATTTGAATAAAAAATTATTAAAGTCCAATTTTCGGCAATGTTTAGCAATTAATATCTTGTTAACTATTGCGAAAATTGCAAAATGGTAAAGGACTCCCTTCTCAGTTTAATCCATTCTACCCCTATGCGAAAGATTTATTATTTTCCAAACACCTTGTGTGTGTGTATGTATATATATATATATGAAGGTAATATTAAATCTAGAATATATTGTGCTATACATAAAAAAATATATACCATTCAAATATTAAGATGTAATTTAAATATCCTTTCAAATAAATTCATCGTACTTACAAGCGGGAATAATTGTACAATGATTTTACGCATACATACATTTAGAATATGAATGTTTCTAAAAAAAAAAGATAACAAATAAATTACCAGGAATAACTAATAAGATTCAATAATCAATTGTTTTGAAAACAATTTTAAAACACTATATTATATAATAATATAATATAATTTTATTTAAAAAAATTTCAAATCCTAATTTTTCTTTAATTAACGGAATAAACAAGTTAAATGACAATAATATAACATAACAAAACAAATTAATAAGTTTTAGAAAGAGATTTCATTTAAAAAAATTGACTTAATGCATACAATTGATATTTCATTCTAATATAAAAAATACGTGTAAGATTCATTTACATATACATATGACAATTAAAATTTTTTTGTAAATAATATATTGAGTTGTCTTATGTGATAATTGTTATATATACCATTACCTCTAGATATCACTCGATAAAAAACTCGTATAATGAAAGTATCTCATTAGCATAGTATATGAATATTAATAACACAAGGATATTTTTCTTTAATACACCAGCTACATATGTTTCAAAATTCACTACCAGTATACTAAAAATCTATAGCTTACATTATGTACACTGTAAGATATCAGCACTGGCAGTGAATTTTGGAATACAGTTGTCGTCCTATGAAAGTACGATCAGTTGTATGAAAAGTACACTCATTGGAATCTTACATAGACACTTTATATCAATCAAGCACTATGTCAACCGTTCATAACATCGTTCAAAATATGATCGATAAGGACGCGCGGCAGAGGTGGGTGAGAACCTGGATGCGACTTCCTGTGACTGATTAGACCTGGCTTCTGAGTGAAGGCTTTGCCGCAAATATCGCAAACATATGGCCTGATGCCGGTGTGGATAAGCAGATGTTGCTTGAGAGCTGTCCTACGAGCGAAGGATTTATTGCAGATGGTGCAACTGTATGGTTTATCCCCGGTGTGAATCCTCATATGCACCTTCAATCTGCTGTTCCGCGAGAACGTCTTGCCGCACTCTTCGCATACCACGTTTTCTCTGCGTTCATGCTGCCTGAGCATGTGCTCGTTGAGATTCTCCTGGCTGACCATTCGTCTCTTGCATATCTGACACTCGTACTTGGCCTTGTAGTGTGCAAACTTCTGGTGCACGTACAAAGAGTTGCTATTAAGACAAGTCTTGCCGCAAACATCGCAAATCACCGGTTGCTCCCGGTGGCTGAAACGTATATGGTTCGTCAGATCACCTTTGACCTTGAACTTTTTACCGCAAGTTTCGCAGGAAAACTTGAAGTCATCTGTGTGCTTGCGCGCGACGTGTATCTTCAATTCATACTTGTTCTTGTTCTTGTATTCGCACTGGTTGCAATAAAATAATTCTGGCTGCGCGTCGCCGTCGCAGGACTGTGGCTGTTTGTGTTTTCGCTTGATATGAGAGTATAGCGACGACTTCTTAGCAGTTTTAAATCCACATTCATTGCACGTGTACACCTTATTAACATCCTCCACTTTATGCCGGCGTTTATGAGAGTATAGTGTGCTCTTTTTTGCGCACGTAAAATCGCAAAGATCGCAATGTTCTTCAACGGATGACTTCTTCTGATTAGATGTCTTTGGAACGGCGATCGCCGATGTTTCACTGTTAGCTTCAACTTCTGTTTTAATTATTAAGTTAGGATTCTCGGATGAGATTAACACAGTAGTCTTAGCTGTTCCGCGGCTGTACGAGCAAGCTGTTTGACTAGTCTTCTTGAGAGACGTGTAGTTACATTTCGTTATTCTACGTTTTTTTTTCGTACAACTTGCTTCTAAATTTTTCTTAACCCTCTTATGATTTTGTGCCAAGTGAGATGCTAGAGTAGTACTTCTTTTACATTCAAAATCACACATGTTGCAAACAAAACTCATTGTATTCTTGTTCCTGTGTTTGCGCATGTGCATGTTCAGATTCGTTTCACTCAAACATTCATAACTGCAAATCGTACAATTGAATTTCTTAGGATTTGTTTTAGCCACTTCTTTCTTATGTTTCTTCTTTACATGCGCATCTAAAGTTGCTAATCTATTACAATCAAAATCACAAAAGGTGCAAACATAAAATACGTATTTGCTCCCGTATTTTGCTTCCTGTAAACGCAACTTTAATTGTTTGGATGGTCTTCGAATGTTCGTCTTTAAATATAGCATGTACTTTTCTTTCAGACGTCCTTCTCGAAGCCATGAATGCATATTATGTGTTATTTTGTGGCGACTTAGCATAGACTGCATGGGAAATTTCATATTGCACTTATCACAAGTGTAACTATCGATGACTACGTTGTACAAACGCATCAAGGAATCCATGCAATGACTGACGCTACATTCGCTGATTTTCTGATTGCTCTGTTGATCCTTGATTTCTTGGACTTTGACAGGAGCCAACGATAATACATTAAATATCTTTGTGGTTTCTTCAGCTTTATGGACATCTTTTAACATCGGTACTAACGAATAGTGCAGTTTATCATTAGCATCAACGTGCTGCCACAATTCTTTCATCGGTATTGAATCCTTTGCGGTAATAAAGCAACCAGAAGCGTCCATCTGCAAGATCTTCTCGCTGCAGTTTTGTTCTCTAAAACATATAAAATACAGCGGTTAGTTTCAGTAATGTTGTTAGAATTTGAACATCTCAATCACTACTTACTCCAGGTCTAAAAGATGTTTCTACAAAAGTTTTGGATACAATTGAATCGTGGAACTATTATATAATTCGCAAGCCACGAATTCATTCATATTTTTTTTATATTCAATAATACGTTATAAAATATGTTTTTCCAGGATATGAAAAGGATATAAAATTAATTTATTAAAACTGTGTAACAATTCAAATTTATACTTATATATAAATTAGAAATTGGTAGAAAATAACATAACATAAATTTCAGATATTATAATTTAATATGTATAAATTACTTAATAAATATAACTGTTTCAAGTAAATAGGTTTATAATTAATTTAAGCTCTATTTTTTATTTATCCCTCATCAATTAACATTTTTTCTTATAATATTTAGAGTAGATTTATTAATTATGTATTAGGTGTTGGAATTAATTCGTAGCGTTTTTCAATGAAAGAATGTTATTTATTTCACATGAGCATTAAAAAATACATTAATGAAAGTACTTCCCATCACTTGTAAAACGCTACGAATTAATTCCAACACCTAATATATGTATACAAAACTAAATACAGCATTACAAGTAAAATAACTGCTTGCTTTCTAAAAGACATAGATAATGTCAGTAAGTGTGCATCTGATACTTCTTACGCACAGTTACATCTCCTCTTGATAACTTGTACGCGTAAATCATAAATATACAGCGATAACTTGATTAAGTGATTAAATCTCTTCAAGTTAAACACTGCAATTTTGATAATTGTAAATCTTATCGTGTTGTCATATGGCTGTCGAGATCCTCTTGTTTTAAAAATTATAATCTTGTTGCATATGACATAGTGAAATTTATACTTTGAATGCATTCATTGCATGTCTTTTTATGTAACAAAAAATTGATCCTGTATTATAAATCTTCCGTAAATATTGCTTCTTCAGCTTCTGCAAATATTAGTTGCAATTTCTTTGAATTTTTTCCAATTTAAATTTTCACTATATATTTTTAATGTTAGATTCAATTTGTCCTTTTAATTTTCTTCTCCACAAATTCGTCGGTAGCTTCTACTTTTATTAATGATGAAAGACATGATGATTCTACGATCTCTCTTTTATCTTCATCTTTAACAAATTCATAAGGATCTTATATCGGCACAAAAGAAAATTGATGGTTGCTTTAAACCTTAAGAAAATTTTGTTCAAGAAGATCACATGGTATAGACCTAAAAGCAAGAAAAATAAATCAGTGGCGCAAAACAAATATTTGTATACACAGAAATTGTCTAGTGACTGTAAAAACATCCCCTTTGCACAATACATTAGACACTATATATTTATTTAACATATAACAAGGTATATAACATTATAATACAATGCAATGTAAAATTGTAAATTGTTAAAAAAAAATTTTCTTCATATTAAGAGCATCTTTACAACTTTTATTGCATTATATTTAAGTAATTCTAAGAACAAAATGGGAAATATGTACATTTGTCATTATTTCATACTGTTTTATTTAAAAATGTATGTTTATCAATTTTGTGTTAACAATATCTGAATATGTACTATTTAAAAGTAATGTATTCTTCTTAAATTTTCAGTTAATTTAATATTATTAATAAAATTCATATTCGTTGACGAAGCATGTTAACTTTATTATATGATATCCCCATTCGCACTCATTTTTTAAAAAAGATTCTTTCACATTAGTATAATTTACAATTACTAATAATTAAAGATATTTAAATAATTGTTTTTTTAAATATCTTTAAATATTTTTAAAAACATTCATCACAGCAACAAAAAAGTTGTTTTCTATTACTGAAAATATGACTATTATTTAATAATCATAGTGCAGGCTGATTGATAATTAATGATTACCTTCTCACATATCGACAGAATCGACCAAAGTAGAAAAGTCCTTTACCATTTTGTAATTTTCACGATGGTTGATAAGATATTAATTTTTAAAGATCACCAAATGTGTCCGCCCAACAGCGAAGAAATTGCAAAATAGTAGAGGACTTTTCGATTCAGTTTAATTTTGCCTCTATATAAGAATTTAATCATTAATTGTCAAACACCCTGTATATTATATTTTCTTATGTTGTTTCTTATGTTATTATATTTAAGTTTTTTTTTTTAAAAAGATTCATCAATGTATATTTCAATCGTAGAAAGTGTGAATACATTCATTTACTAAAAACATATGTATTTATTTAGTATTTTACATCAATTTATACTGTACATTGCATCATCCCATATGATAAAAGTTCACTATCAAAAGCGAGGATTATTATCATAAAATCATATTTTCGATAACTTTTTCAAAATAAATTTCCATTAAAAAAAACTGAATAGAAGATAACATTCTCATCACCAATTTAAATTACATACACGGATGAATTTATTAAATGATGTCAAAAGATATAGTGTATGCCTTCATGCTACAGTGAATATAAAAAACAAAATTATTATTCTATAAAAAATAGAATTTATTGTTAACGAAAATATATCGCAATCTTACTTGTTAGTCAAAATATAAAAAATAGAGAATACAAAAATTATAGTAAAGAAATATCAAAAGATATTGAATATGATATTGCAAAGATGGTGACATATTTTTCATTAAACTCAATTCATAAACAAAATTGGAAGACTTCGATATAAAAATGAAATGTAATTACACGATGAATGAGTTCAAGATACAGTATAACATAAGAAAAGAATTATATCTAATATTAGATTAATATAGGCATCACTTTTTCTGTACTATATTATGTATTTATATTGCCAACAGGTTTATAATCATAATATGAATATATTAAAAGTTTCAAAAAAATAAAAAATAAAAAATAACAGAATAATTTTGCAATTCCATAAGATGAGTACAATCTTCGAATATTCTAAATTTAATTAGAGAATAAATAAACACTTAAATGCAGAAAGTTAGAATTTAATCATAAATCTAATAAATCTGATATAGTCATTTATAACTTATATTCAAATAAATTTAACAAATTTAAATATAAAATCAACATACCAATATAGTAGCATGTACTATCAAAAAAAGGATCCTCCGATTTAAAAATTCACAAGACAATAATATATCGCCTTTGATGTAAACGAGATTGTCCAAACTGCGTTACATTACAAATGTATCGTCACTGAGATAATAATTAAAAATCATCTGTTTGCACATCACGCGCTTTTAGAGATTATATATGTATATTAGAGAACCATAAGGTCATTCTCTTTATATCACAAATTCATCTGTTGTTTATACACACGAATCACTTGGCACTTTTATTTACAACAATTTTGTCTTGCACGCCGTGCAGGAGATTCGTAATTTTAATAGGTGGAGGCGGTGGATGTACGCCAGGATGCTTTTTACGATGCAACATCATTGGCGATCGCTGAGTGAAGCTCTGACCGCAAATGTCGCAAACGTAAGGTCGCTCGCCAACGTGAGTCAACAGATGAATCTTTTGTGAACTGAGACAGCCAAAGGTTTTGCCGCATATTGCACAGAGATACGACTTTTCTCCCGAGTGCGTTCTGAGGTGCTTTGTGAGACCATATTTGAACTTGAACTCCATACCACACTGCTCGCAGACGTACTTCATTTTATGCAGCTCAGCGTGACTGTCAAGATTTTTCTGGGTCTTGAAGCGCTTTCTGCAAACTTGGCACTCAAATTCCTTAATCTTCGTCTTGTGCTTGTAATGCTTGTGGAAGTACAAAGAACTCTTGCTGGGATAAGACGTGCCGCATATGTCACAAACGCAGGATTCTGTATCGTGATCTTTCATATGCGTTGTATAGTCGGATTGTACCTTGAACATCTTGCCGCATTGTTCGCAGCTGTAGTTGTAGTCCTCGGTGTGCTTGCGAATGTAATGTATCTTCAAATACGGTTTCGTACGCGCCTTAAATTCGCACAGAGTACACGCGTGAAGCTGCGCGGGCTCGTCGTGGATTTCCATATGCCTAGAAAGATACGCACTGGTCTTGAAGCCCTTGGAACAGATCGTGCATTTGTGCGGACGGGAATTGCTATGTTTGAACATATGACTGGTGAGCTTGCTCTTGCGGTCGAACGTAATATAACAAATCTGGCATATATGCGACTTTTTCTTTGGACTAGTCGTGTGTTTACCGGATCGCGTTTTCGAGAGTTCATCTTTACGCCGTTTCCTAAAGTCCAAAGGAGTGTCATCCAAATCGTCCAAATCATCCAAATCCTCGACGACTATCTTATTTTTCTTTCTAGTCTTAACGCGTTCTTGATCTTTCTCTTCAGGATTACCCTTCTCTGTTTTTACTTCATCTTCTTTAGATTCAGCTTTAAAATTATTTTCTTCGCTAGGCGGAGGTTCTTTCATCATAAACACGCTCAATGACTTTGGGATGCGAAAATAATCGTCTTCCAGTTTTACTATCAGAAAAGTTGACGAGAGTGGATCTAGCTGATTGGACCTAAAAAAATTATAAAAATCAGTCAGTCGATTTTTATTCGTTAGTACAATGAGCATATGGACGTGCTGGTTGCACGCGAGCATGCATGGTGCAACTTCAGAATTAAAAGTTTCAATAAAGCAAAGCTGAATTCTATAAAAATTATTTTTTTCTATTGCTTATAGAAATACTTTCTTAGGAATAAATATTCGTTATTATTCTAATACTTGTTTTAACATCTATTTATAAGAATAAATAGTAACTGACAAATTAACTTACATTTTAAAAAACGCAAAACGTTGAACTATACATTAATATATTAAATAAGCTATAATACACGATGTATAATATATATAATATTTATTTAGATTATTTATTGCATTTAATTTATATTAAAAAATTAAATTTTTTTCTATATAATTAAAACTGAATATGTATTGTTAATTTTATCATGCATTGCATTATAAAAATTAAAATAGGCACAACAATCTTGATATTAAATAAACAGAAATCATTATTAAAACATTTTTCAAAATAATCACAATATGTAACACATTACTTTAATTAGCTTTCCCTTTAAAATCCAGATATTGTAATGAAATAATCAATATGTACCAAAAGTCCAACATATGCATTTTTGTACATTTATTCCTGTATCAACAATTAAAAAAAAAACAAAATTAAACTAAAGAATCATAAAACATTCTAAATAAAATACACTTTCAAAACAGATGGCAATAAGAATCTATGAAGATTCTTTCCATGTCTCGTGAGAGATATAGATCGCTGCATAAAATTTACATCACAAATGTCATAACATGAGTCGATTTGCAAGAGATAAAGTCATATTGCTTTATATCCTGCATTCCATATTATAACGTTTGTGACGCTTCATCAAATCTTTACATTTTTTAGTACAATTCTAATGATAGATCAACAAATAATTATCCATCAACTTCAAGTTTGTTTCAACAAAATAAATTTTGCACTTTTGACAGTTCATCTTCTTGAGCAATTTCAATCTTATGAATTGATCACGTAGAAACAATAAATATGTTAATCAACCGATTACACGCATAAGGATACCATATCCCATCTTAGACTACAATCGTGATTAAAACTTTGTTAAAATGCTCGAGCAAATTTTATTCGTTATGATAAGCATAAAGATTCTTAACATCTCAATCTGTAAAATATATATTGATAAATTGTTTAATATTCGATGAATTCGGTCCATTCTCATGCGTTACAGTTTAATCCTTGTTTTTTAAATATTCTCCAAGAAAATTACTTAACATTATACAGACGTATATATTATATATATGTCTGTATAAACTTTATATATATAACTGTATTAAAACTCTATATATAGAGTTTATTTTATATAACTGTAATATATATATATATAATTTTAATACAGTTATATAAAGTTTTAACATATGATTAAATAAAAAAATAATTTTCTTTTATTTAAGCGTCCGTTGAAACTTTAGTCTTCCTAATTTTGAAGACTTGGACTCCTTTTGTAATATAATGCTTCACCTTTGATATACATATATAATCATTTAATACAATAATTCGTTGACTTCTGAAACATTTATTTTAATGAGTAAAAGAAAGTATAATTTAATGTATTGCTATATTTAACAAATCACGATTGTTATAAAATTACATAAATATAAATTTGTACATATACTTATAAAGAAAAATTCTTTTTTGTACAAAATATTCCGTATTCGAAATCATTCTTAAAAAATTTATTCTTCGAAATTAATTCAAAACTACAATATTTTTACTAGAAAATACTAAATACTTATAAAAGTAAAGCTTACCTATATGGTAAAAATAAAAATCTAAGGAAAAATAAAAAAAATATAAATTATTCACAAATTACAAATCTTTTGTATAATCAATATAATTATTAAACATAAAAATTCAAATTTTAAGTATTTATTAAACAGATTCAATTATATATAGTTTGTATGTGTTTCTTTTCTATTATATAAAGTAATGCATTCAGTATTTTTGTACGTATAATTAATAATTAATTCTATGATTTATTATTTTACGGCAATAATATGTATTTAAATAAAAATTATAATTTAAATCAACATAAATACTCCGTGTTCTGAAATTTCAAATATAATTAAGTAAAAAACATTTTTTAATATAATTTTATTTGTATATTAAATCGTTGCGTTTATTTCATAGTTTATATCAAATTTTATAATTTGATAATATTCACATAAAATAGAAATTTTTATTGATTATTTTTAATGTTCACTGTTTTGCAAAATTTTTATTTTGCACAGTACATAAATAATAATATAGAGATTTCTTTCTGACATAGTAACACTTCAATTAATGTACACGAAAACATACAGGGTCCGATCGAATAACATGTAAAAACAAGCACATAATTCCTTATAAAAAAATAAAAAATATATAGAGAATAAAATTTTTCGATTTTCTGTTTAGTTTTCGAAAAAATTGAAAAATTTTATTCTATATATATTTTTTATTTTTTTATAGAGAATCACGTCGTGCTCGCTTTTACATATTCAACCAGATCCTGTATATCAAACATATATCAAATACTGTTTTCTAAAAGAAAACAATAGTATTAAGAATATATATTTTTTTATAAGTGTGCATAAATGTATCAGTCTTTTTCTTTAGAAAAGGCAAAAATATCATCATGTATACGCTTTGTTCGTACACAAGATACAATCGAAAAAACTTATCTGTATGAATCGTATATTCTAATATATAGTTCATATGTTTTATACATTCCTTAATAACTTCAAGTTATTATTTTATAATCCTTTAACATCAATCGTCAATCGATTGTGAATCCAATACAAAATTCTTATCCATATTGTCATTTTTTATCTTTTCAAGATAATTCCTGGCAAGCTCGGCTATTTGCGGATGGGACGATGATAACAGCGGTAACGGTCCAGGATGATGTTTTCTATGTCTCAGTAGACTGGAACGTTGCGTAAAGTCCTTTTCACAGACATCGCATTTATATGGCCGTATGCTGGCATGAGTGAGCACATGCTGATAAAAATTGCTAATGGACAGAAACGTTTTTTGGCACAGAATACAAGTGGAAATGTTTGTCTGGCTGTGCTTAAAACGTTTATGGCTTGTGAGTTCGCGAGTACCACTGTACTCTTTTCCACAAATCTCACATTTAAAACCTTTTTTATGCAACATCAAATGGTTGTCCAATCTACTTCTATGATGGAACTTTTTACGGCACAGGTGACACGGATATTCATACTTGATCTCACGATTTCGTTTCTGATGCCGCCACTCGTGGCCTTTGACATCCTTGACCTTCTTGCCGCAAAAGCGGCAGATTTGTAGATCCGATACATGAGTTCTTTTCATATGATGCGTTAGATCGATCTTCAGCTTATAACTGCGGCCACAATGTTCACAAATGTATCTTGATTCATAATCGCTATGAGCGCGAATGTAATGTCTTTTTAGTCCATCTTCACTTTTGTACTTCACATGACAGATTTCGCACTCAAAGAAATAATCCGGCCGATGTATTTTTTTATGAGTCTCCAGCGCCCTTGGCGTGTAACAAGTTCTTTTGCACCTGTCGCATTGATATGGTTTACGATGTGCATATTTTACATGTTGCTCAACTTGCTTTGCATTGTTAAAATGTCTCTCACAAAATGGACATGTGTTTTTTATTTCTTCCATGACTTCATCTACTTCGGTGATTTCTTTGTGTGAATTCGAAGAATCGAAGACTTGTGATGATTTCGCATTCAACAAAGATTGAACATTGTTAATTGAAATGTTGGTGCCTTTGACAGTTATTATAGATGAATTTTGTGAATCTAATGACAAACAATCTACATTAATCGATTCATTTGACACATTTTGACACTGTATCGTAACGGATTTAAGTTTTTCACTTGTAGAATTAGTTTCACTTTGAACAGGTTTCCACGAGTCCAACAAAATGGAGACAAAACGAACAGGCCCTTTTTGGTATTGTCTTCCTGTCTGCCTGATGATAGGCTTTTCCCTGAAACAGGGATAAATCGTGTCAGTGTATAAAGTATCAATACTTGTTTTAATTATATATTCAAATAGCTAAGTGCGACATAAAAAATTTCCTTAGCTATTTTATATATAATAAAATAAATCTCACTGTGTTGTTACATTGTGGATGTCACCATCAATTTCATCAATTACTAGAAAATGTTCATAGGAATAGTATTAGAAAATTACGCATATTTTTATCAAATTTTTTACATCAAATTTTTACACGCACTTGTATTCCGTTATATCCAGAGAGATGCAATGAGTCTGAAATAAATGCAAGAAAGTAAATTTACTTCAAAAAATGTAAAAAATTGTGGAAAATATTTTTTTCTTGCACAAAATAAAGTTAGCTATTACACAATAAGAATATTATCCATAAAACAAATGAAAAAAATTATGTATAACAGCATTAGTCTTTAATAAAGTAAGTATGTATTTATTCCATTAATACTGTTTTTAAATTTAAGATTATTTTCAAATGAAATGTAATGTGCTGTTACTACATCATCTTTTTCCGTGCACAATATTATTTAATATTATGCTCATAATAATATTAACGTATTTAATTGAATATACAAATAAACCTTACAAAAATACAATCTTTTTTATTTATCAGTGTTTGTTTAGTTATCCAAATGATTATCTAAATGATTATTCATAATACGAAATTTTATATATATGTATACACTTATACATGTATACACTTATTATTAATTAAGCATTATTAACACATATATATTTCAGTTATTTCAGATAAATATTTAGCTATGCTAAATACTTATATTTTGTATTCATAAAAGATGTTTATATAGAAAACGTATGTCCCGAATAATTTAAATAATTGAAAGTAATAGTGTATAAAATCAGTCTTTCATCTTATAATTTATCATGATAAAGACTCATCAATTTTTTTTAATATATCGCAATTGTCATTTTGTACGTATCCTTTCCATAATTTCAAACTTTTAACTTTTTAACTTTTTCCTTTACACATACAAATAACAAAACATACATCTAGAATGAAATATTTTTCACATTTATTAAAAACTAAAATTAAACTAAAATTTTTTATTAAACTAAAAATAGAACTAAACGCACTTGCAACAAAGAAAAATCGTCAAAAGGTTTTAATTATGATATACGGATACCGGATATTTTCTGGATATCCGATATAAATTTCCCAAAATTCTAAAAAAAGAAAGCAAGGAAAAAAATAGCGACAATTTTAGGTTTGTTCATTTTAATAATAAGCGCGCTATCAACGTCATTGCATCATTCTATATCCTATTCTTGTTTTACGTCAAATGAATAATAAAGACAAAATGATACAACAGCTGTTGATATCGCGTTCGTCAAATGCAGTTTTAACTGAACTTCTTGCACAGTTTATCTTTTTTCTTTATCTCCCCAACGTAAAAAGAAAAAGAGAAAAGCTGAACTGTGCAAAAAGTTTAGTTAAAAAGAATAGAATTCTGCATCAAACTTTTAATATAAAATTTCAGACGTATATTTTATATATATATATATATATTGCCAGCTATAAGATAATAAAAAAGTATTGAATATTTTCGATACTTTTTTATTATCGGATATCCAGTGCATCTGTAATAATTTAACAGTATTTTTATATTCTCACAAATTATCAAACATATTTTTTGAAAAATATTTTTCAAACATTGTTATTATACATTTATAGATTAAATGACTTTTGTATAAATAACAATATATTAAAACATCGTCTAATAAGCCGTTCAATTAGTTTCATTATAGTTTCTCGAATTTCTATAAAACATTTTTAACTAAACCAGCAATGGAAACGTGCGACGTGTAGAGTGAAAACAGACCGGGATGATTTTTTTCTGTGCCGAGACTGGATCATTGAGTCTTCACGGTAAATATATGGCCTGATGAGCATGCGTAAAAACATGCTCATAGAATATATTACCTCTTGTCGACACTTTCAATACTTTCTTACAAATCGAACAAGTTCTACTTAATTTGTGTATCCGATTCTTGTTCTATAATTGTCTTAATTATCTGCTCTCTTTGTCCATTTCTTTTTCTATTTGAAGTTCTTCTTTTTCATCGTTCGTTGTAATCTTTTCTTTCTGTCTCCTTTTGCTGGGCTATATTATTTCCTCACACTTTCTTTAGAAGTAATTTCTCATCACGTCATAATACATTCCGACATATATCATTATCCCACACTGTCATCTACCGTCCCCTAAAACATCCATTAATTTCAATCAGTACAAACACAAAATATACATTGTCACAACTGCCAAAATCAAGAATCTTCCATAATCAATAGTAATGTTCAATAAAATTTCAGTAAAATCATTTAACTAATATGTTTGATATTATTGCTATTATACAATTTCTAAAGATTAAGCGATTAAATATTTAAGTATATTAGGATAGAAACAAAATTATAAGCTTTGTTTGACTTAAAATTTCTAAATTTACATATAATTTTTTAAATACCATACAGTATCTACACGTTAAAAATAATTATTTCAGCAATTACCATTCTAACAAATTCGTAAGTATGTTGTACCATCTACTTATAGCAAATTCGGTTGAGCGCACAAATGTACATTACATACATATTACAATCGTTGTACACTGATTTAATCTGGTGTAAAAATGAAATGTAAATATTTCGAATTATAAAACGCATATTTTACTTGACAGCATAATAAAAGTATTGAAGATTTCACGATTTAATCTATTTTATATTTATATTAAATACACATGTTTACGTCAATTTATGTATGACTTTAATATGCATCAATGCACACTGGATGTGTCTAATCAAATTCTCTAGTAATTTGGCTTTCAAATCAATTCAAGTCGACTGAGCAGCAACAGGATGGTCGATAACCCGGGTTGGAACGTTGATGTCGGAATGTAGTTTGCGATGATGTGCCGTCATGCTGTTATATTGCGTGAAATATTGTAGGCAGATATCACATTTGTATTGTTTTTTGCTTGTGTGAATAAGCTTATGCATCTTGACACGTGCGTATTTCGCGAAATTTTCGGACATAACATGCACTGGTAGGGTCGTTCGGTATATATACGTTCATGTCGCTCTAATGTTTAATTCGACGCTAATATTTTATCGCATTGGGTGCACAAGAACTTCGACAAGTGCAGGCTCATGTGACTGCGAAGGCTGAGATAAAATTTTTCTATTATTTCGGCGCGGATTTTTGAATTCCATGAATGATCACACGTTTGTATGTAAGGTATGATTTCTGTAAGCTGTAATAATCATGAATGAAGTTTTTAATATCAAGTTCTTCGCTAACTCACCTTATAACAGTTGTGATCCTCGAGATTATAATTCGACATAAATCTTTAGACGCAGCACTGTTCGCAACGTTGAAAGTCGCGCTTGTGTACCCGTCAAATATGAGCATCAAATAAAACTTTCAAAATCAAGCCATATAGATCACAAATATGTGTGACGTCACTGTGAATCTGCATGTGATTATTCATATGCGACTTGCGTTTTCTCGCAAATCGTGCAAGGATGTACATTGGTATGCTTCACTGTTTTTTTTATATTTACAAAGCAGAAGATAAGTCACATGGCATATAGAATATATCGCACGCACTTTTCTTTTTCGTTTTCAGTATTAATCATAGTATTTCTACGTTTTCATCATATGCTTTTTGCAATATTGTTTCCTTTTTCTTCTTTTGTTCGATTATTAAGTTTCCTATCGTTGAATTCGATTCTATTTCTAGCGAATAATTGTACACCTCGGATTTTTACTCGCTAAACTCATTCTTGAAATGTTTTCCCATCTCTCCGAATTCGAGAATTCTGTAAGCAACAACAATAATTTTTCAGCATTCATATTTAAACGCAGTCATATCATCAAGACATTGATACATACACATGACATGGATACTTTCTCTTCTTCCAAAGTTTCATACGAGAATGACCCAAGGACTAATTTGGCAATTTATATAAACGTTGGAAATAATGACGTTCTCTTACTTCAAAATCAAGGAACAATCGACAAAGATAAGATAATTTCAAAGTTACAAACACTATTTTATGTATGAGTTATTTTATTAAACGTATAATAACGAATATCAATGATAACATAAATTTATCGATGCATTTATCCACATTCATACGAGTAAGTCTGAGGTCTTGCCTTAGAAAGAAAGAGAAAAGAGAAAAATAAGGAAAAGAAAACGAATTCGTCGTTCAACAACATTGGCATTATTCGGCTTACAAGTTATCCTTATCTACACTGAAAAAATAGAACAACAATATTCGTAACGAAACACTTTGAGCACGATAGTACAAATATCGTATAATTCATGAAAAACCGAACGGACAAATATCACGCGTTGTTTTGTCTCTTGAGCGTCGCACGGTTTACGCAAACGTTACAACAACCAGTATACAAAAGATATTGTAGAAATTTATCGAGAAGTATCGGGATCAATATCGTGAGTATATCGCTCCGTCAACATTGTCCAACATCAACATAGTGATAGATAATATAATCTATAATAATTCAAAACTTCTTTGAATTTTTGTCTGCTCTGTTGTTACGATATATAAGCAACAACAACGTGTAAGCACGTACTATCGCACTGTTATTATCGTTTAATGTAATCGTCAACGAAAATCGCGTCATCAACAAGAAGTCATTCATAAAACAAGTCAAAGTTCTTAAACACACGTAGACTTCTGATGGGCCGTTAAGTTGCCCTGGCAAGAGAATCCACGATTGCATATCTGGCACACATAAGGTCGTTCCCCGGTGTGTCCGCGTTTGTGAATAGTCAACGTCGATCTCTGTGAGAATGCTTTCGGACACTGGTCACATTTATACGGCTTCTCCCCCGTATGTACTCTTCTGTGCATCCTCAGATTTTCGGAATCGGTAAAACCCTTTCCACAGATGTCGCAAACGTAAGGTTTTTCTCCGGTATGGATCCGCCTATGCTTCTTTAAGTGCTCAGCGCTACTGAGACTCTTTCCGCAGTAATCGCAAAGATACAGCTTTGTCGGATTGTCGTGGCAAGTACGCGGCCACAAATATCACAAGCGGTGCTAGTCACTTTGTTGGCCTTCAGCTCGGGATGCGTGCGTCTGCAGTGTGCGGAAAGCTGTCGTCTCAAGTAGAAGGCATTGTTACAAAGCTGACAGACAAACGGCTTCTCGCCCGAGTGAATGTTATAGTGTTCCTGAAGATCGAGCTTCTTACGAAAACGTTTGTCGCATTCATTGCATTTGAATGGCAGATCCGCTTTGTCCATGTGTCGCGTCATGTGAATGCTCAGAGCCGCCAAAACAGTAGTTTCGTAATCACACTCCTTGCACATGTAACTCGGTAGGAAATGCGTCTTCTCGTGCCTCGTTAAATCACGAAACAACCGAAATTTTTTGGGGCAATGTTTGCAGGGGAGATCACCTACTGTGTGGCGCAATAAATGTTTCTGATAGTTGCTCTTGTGTCGGAAAACTTTGTTACAAGTTTTGCAAAGAAACTCTAGCTCAGGCTTTTCTTTCTTCACCTTTTTCAATGATGCGATACGATCGCTCACTCCTGAAGAGTTGCTTTTGCGACTGCTTTTACGTACCGAATGCGTCTTCATGTGTTTGCGAAGACTAATACCAGTTCTGAAGATTCGGCCGCATTGGGCACATGTATTCTTCCGCTTACCTTTGTGCTCGATCTCATGATTATCCAACAAAGACTGCGAGGCAAAGAAAACACCGCAGAGTTTACAGTGATACGCCAAAGGAAGATCTTCCTCGTCATCCTCACTGTACTTTACTTCCTGCTTTATGACGTCTTGTTCGGGATTTGTTGAAACTGCTGTCTCGTCAGTGGCATCCACCGGATCCAGGCATTTCGACGAGGACTTCGCAGGTTCGCCATTCTTCTTCACCAGATCAAGTTTAGAGAACATCGGGTAATAGTCTTCAGGAAACTGTAGCTGGTTGTACCTGAAATGGAAAAATTCAGGGGGATATCAGTATCGAATATCCTTGTTATATGGCAACGATCTTTCTTTCATTGTCTGGTCTCGTTGTCTAGCAAATTATTTCTACTCCTGTAAGTAAAATTTCTAAACTTGCGCAAATTTGCAGCTTTATTATGTGATAAATTACGATAATTTGGTTAAAAAATAATCAAAATCGTCATATTACATCTATATATTTATCATATTATATCTAACGATAGAGACATTTAAATATGAAAAAAGTGATGAAACATTTGATAGAGTCATAACTCTGAGTAGCACTTTTTTTATATTAATAATACATTTTTATTTATATTAATAATATATAATGCAGGAATATATATTCAATATAAAAAAAATAATTATAGCTCTTACTATAATCCGTATAAAATAAACAATGTTACATACATCTTTTTTGATATTTCTGTTTGTTATTCTATCGACATTTGCTATATTTACGATTTTGTTCAATCATTTTTTATGTAAATATATTAACTTCTTATAATAATAATCTACTTTATAATACACACACACACATACACACGCGCGCGCGCGCACGCACGCATGCACGCACGTTGCCTGTCAAAGATAAAGAGAAAACTTCATGTCAAAATCATAGAAAAACTTTGCAATACAATTTTTAATGAAATTAATTTGTTTAAGGTTCCTAATCATGAATAATAAATCTTTAGAATTCAATCAATGATATCAGAAGCGAGAAAACATAATAAAAATTCAGTCATTCATTTTTTAATAAAATCAAATTTAAATATCATATACTTACAAAATATTCGAAAAACTCCTTTTATTTTGAAATAAAATCATATTTATGTGAATTGATATCAATTCGACATACAGCTTGTTTTATTTTTTTACATAATTCAATTGCAAATATATAGTTATTTATTAATTACTAAAACACAAGTTTTCGGTCTGTTTTATAAATCTGTTCTATCAATTGCGAATGTTGTTTTATTAAAAAATACGTTTTAATATAATTTACAAAAGTTTTTGTTTGATATTTTATCGCTTTTCTGACGCCACAATCCAAGATGGCTGCAATGAGTAGATACAAGCTTTAATACATTGTAAATAGTACTTCAATAAATCAATAAAATAAAAAATAAAAATAAGAGATCAATATATCAAAATATGTCAGATATCACATGATAATATCATATTATGATTCCCGCAAAAAGTATTAACATTAAAAAATTGTATCATATAGCACTGTGGACGAGCATCGTCAAAATAAATGTAGAATAACGGCGTTTATTAATATCGTTGCACTTTATTTCATCGCTTGAATCCATAAGTCTGATAATATCACTACACAATAATGTTTTAAACACGAGATGCAATGACAATTGACACAGTATATAATAGAAACAGATATAAATTATATGACTATGTCGATTGCATCATCATTTCATTAACCATGTGTACTTTATTATGAGCATTAAGCAATCCCCTAGACACAAATGATTTGCTGCAATAACTACATTGATATGGTCTCTCACCGGTGTGATATCGTTTATGTATAACGAGAGTCGAATGTTGCGTGAAAGATTTTCCGCAAGCATCACACGAGTACGGTTTCTCGCCGGTATGAGTTCTTTTATGCACGACCAATGTCGTTCTTTTGTGAAAAGCCTTGCCACAAACATCGCAGACAAGAGACTTCTCCCCGCCATGAAGACGCAAATGGTCCTGAAGGGATCCTTTAGATGAGACGGATTTACCACACAAATGACAGTCGTATTTGTTCTCGCCGGTGTGTGACTTGACGTGGACTACCAACGAGTTCTTGTAAGCGAATATCTTGCCGCAGAACTCACATTGATGCTTCACCGGTTTGAAGTTCGGATCATGAATTTTCAAGTGCCGCGCCAAGGTGTGATTATTGGGAAAAGACTTGTTGCAAGCAGTACATACGTGTTCCTTGGCGCCATGCTTCACATTCATGTGTCCGTGGAGCTCGGCGTTCGTGAAGAAGCCCTTGTTACAAATCTCACAGTGTGTCGTATACTTTTCGAAGTGACGCTTGTAATGAGTAGCTAACTGAGAAGCTTGTATAAACGCGTGACCGCACACATCGCACACAAAATTTTTCTCGTGAGTGTGAATTCGCTTGTGCACAGCTAAAGTATTGGTTCTCTTGAAACACTTGCCACAGACGTCACATTGATAGGGTCGAGCGTCACTATGTGCCACTAAATGACCTTCAAATAAGTTCTTCGATCTAAAAAGCTTCGTACATATGCTACATTCATAAAACGTTTGTCTGTTGAATTGTTTTTTCATGCCTGAATAATTCTGATGAGTAATTCCTCCGTTTGCAGCTTTTTCAGATTCTTTTTGCGTCAGTGGATCTTCGGAAAGCTCATGTCTCAAATTTATATTTTTGTATTGAACACTGCAATCTTCTTGCTTTATATATTTTTCTTCTTTAACGAAAATTGAAACCAACGTAGAATCCGTACATTCATCTATAGACAGTTCATTTTTTACGCACGTCTGTGCTGGTTTTTCATTTCTGAAAAGAAAATGAAATAATAACTATTATAATATTAACTGATTTAAACTGATTACTAATAAAATGAATTCAGGAAGGATTATAATTTTATTTGCACTTATTTATATCTTTCTTCGTTAGAAGTTTGTATATTGATGTAATTTTTAGATATCAAATATATATTTTAAAAAAGCAATGTTTCTTACCTTAAAAAATTTTTATTGCATATTTATAATATGTATATACATATATACATATATCTGTGTGTGTGTGTGTATGTGTGTGTGTAAGAATTATAAAACAAACGTATCATAAATATAAAAAAGTATGTACTTTATTATATTGGTCATATAATGTGTGTAATTAATACTCGTACTATATAACTGTTAGGTAATCAAAATTAGTTTCCTAGTATTGTTTAGAATTAAACAGTAACACAATTTTGTGTGTGTGTGTGTGTGTGTGTGTGTGTGTGTGTGTGTGTGTGTGTACAGTGTCCCATAATTTTTTGCCAAGCGCTTTTGTGTAAATAGAACGGACTAAACTAAATCGAAAAGTTCTCTACCAGTCCATTTTTCCAATTTTCACAATAATTAACAAAATTACTAAAAATCGTTAAATATTGGTTTTCAATAATTGTTTATTCAAATATTATCAACTTTACAAAAAAAAAACTGCAAGAGACAAAAACTGCATATTTTCTTTTTATGAAATTCTGAAAATTTTTTCAAAAATTTTTAATATCGTGTTTTCTCATGTTGGTAAAAATAGTTGCCAATATAAGAAAATGCAATATTAAAAATCGATAAAAAAATTTTGAAAAAATTCTTAGAGCTTTATGAGAAGAAAATAAATTTTTATTTCTTGCTGATTTTCTGTAAAGTATATAAGTTAATAGTATTTCAGCAAAAAATTATTGAAAACCAATATTCGATAATTTTTACTAATTAATACTCGATTAACCTTTTTAATGAGATACCCAACTTTTTATTCCAGTATCTAATAACTCAGTATCTAATAATGTCGAGAGCTTTTCAAAACACTATAATAAAGTTCTTTTTCATTGAGTATTTTTCGAGTTACAAGGCTCGAAAGCTACAGTATTACCAATATTAGCATTATGCAAGGTATTCGATCAATGGCTGAAACCTCTTGAATTGTTCAGGATTATGTCCTAAATAACATTTGTCAAGCTCAAGGTCACTAGAGATTATTCCTGTTATTTTCATCTTTACACTAAGAATTAATTTTTATGTGTAATGCCGGCGATACTATAACTTATCAAGCCTTCTAAAATACTAAAAAAAAAATAACTTATAATGTTTTGGAAAGCTCTCGACATAGGCTATTAGAAATAAAAAAACTCTGAAATAAAAAATAGGATGTTCCATTAAAAAAAATCGGCGTAATCTTATCTTGACCTTGATGCCAAAATTAAACTGACAAGATCAGTAAATATTTTAGTAATAGATTTTTTAAACTCCACAACTTTTGTTTGAACACTTTTACGATTGGAATATTTTTACGCAGGACTTATCCTGCGAAGATAAAAGGATGATACAATATATATATATATATATACACACACACACGCGCGCGCGCGTTTTTTTTTATTATAAACACACAAATATATATTTAATTATTTTTGACAAAGTATCAAGCATTTTTTTCCATAATATATGCATATCCATTAAATTTGTGAATTTGCAGCTTTATCATGCAATAAATTGGATATTTTGATTAAAAAATAATCAAAATTGTCTTATTATATCTATATGTACATAATTTGTCATATTGTATCTAACAATGGAAACATTTGAAATATGAAAAAAGCGACATGATGAAACAGCTTTTGATAATTGTAACTCTCTGAGAGTAATACTTGTATTTATTGGTCCGGACCAATATATTAATAATGCAGAAATATATTCAATATAAAACAATTAATTATAAATATTTATAAAATATTCAGAAAACTTTTTGTATTTCGGAATAAAATCATATTTATCTAAATTGATATCAATTCGACATATAGTTTGTTTCATTTTTTTTTTACATAATTCAATTGCAAGTATATGATTTTTTATCAATTACTAGAACACAAATTTTCAATCTATTTTATAAATCTATTCTATCAATTACGAATGTTATTTTATTAAAAAATACTTTTAATATAAAAAATAATTTTAATATTAGGTGTTGGAATTAATTCGTAGCGTTTTTAATGAAAGAATGTTATTTATTTCACATGAGCATTAAAAAATACATTAATGAAAGTACTTCCCATCACTTGTAAAACGCTACGAATTAATTCCAACACCTAATATAATTTACAAAATATATATTTTTTTCAGATATTTTTTTCGCTTCTCTGACGCCACAATCCAAGATAACTGCAATGAATAGATTTTGAAAATTTTTAATACATTATAAATAGCATTTCAATAAATCAAAAAAAAATTAAAGTAAATGATCAATATATCAAAATTAGAGTGGATATAAAGAGATATGCGAATTAGTGTCGCCATTTTATTAGATTAGTGTCCTATCTGAGATATCTATATGATGCAATTCCTCGTCTTAACCTCTTCTTTCTTTAATGCTGTCTTCTTTCTAATTAACAGTAAGGACACTTAATGGCGGACCCAATCAGCATTAGGCATTGGCGCCACTCTCTTTATATCCATTCTAATCAAAATATGTCAGATATATGATAACATCAAATTGCGATTCCTGCAAAAAGTATTAATATCAAATATTTTAATCGTATAACAATGTGGACAAGCATCGTCAAAATAAATACGGCATTTATTAAACATCGTACCTCTTTATATCACCACATCGTACTGCTTGAATCCACGTAAGTCTGATAATGTCACTATACAATGTTGTAAACACGAGATGTAACTGACACAGTACAATGGAAACAGATACAAATTATATAACTATGTCGATTGCATCACTATTTCCTTAAAAATGTGTATTTTATTATTAAGCACTCCACTAAGCACAAATCACTTGCTGCAATAACTACACTGATACAGTCTCTCATACGGTATGACATCGTTTATGTATAATGAGTCGAACGATGCATATAAGACTTTCCGCAAATGTCGCATGAGTATGATTTCTCGGTAAATAATATTTTGATTTAGTTCTTTTATGCTCGATTAATGTTTTTTCTGTGAAAAGCCGCAAACATCGCAGATGTTTTTCACGGGCAGGCTCCCTCCGCCATGATGACGCAAATGGTCCCGAAAGAAGCCTCAGAGACGGATCTCCCACATAAATGACAGTATTCTATATTGTTCGTCGGTGTGCGACTTGACGTGGAATACCAACGAGCTCTTGGAGGCGAATATCTTTCCGCAGAACTCACATTGGTGCTTCACTGGTTTCAGATCATAAATTTTCATATGGCGCGCCAAGATGTCATTAGTGGCGAAAGACTCGTTGCAAACAGTACATACGTGTTCCTTCGCGAAGGCATGCTTCGCTCGCTGTGCTTGTGGAACTCAACGTGAAGAAGCCCTTGTTGCAAATTTCATAGTGTATCTTATACATTTCGAAATGACGCTTGTACCGGTTAACTGGGTAGCTTGTAGAAACGCGTGACCGCACATAGCGCACACAAAGTTTTTCTTCTAAGCATGAACTGATCGCTTGTGTCGCGCTAAAGTATTGGTTCTCTTGAAATATTTGCCGCAGACGTCGCAAGCATAGAGTCGAGCGTCGCTATGTGCCACTAAATGACCTTCAAAACAAATTTTTCGATCTAAGAAGCTTCGTATACATATACTACACTCACAAAACGTTTGTCTGATAAATTGTTTTTTCATACCTGAATAATTCTGATGAGTAATTCCTCCGTTTGTAGTTTTTTTCAGATTCTTTTTGCGTGAATTCTCGGAAACCTCATGTCTCAAACGTACATCTTCATATTGAACACTGCAATTTTCTTTATATATAAAGAAGAGACATATGCCTCTTCTTTAACGAAAACTGAAACCAACGTAGAATCCATACATTCATCTATAGACAGTTCATTTTTTTACACACGTCTGTGCTGGTTTTTCATTTCTGAAAAGAAAATGAAATAATAACTATACGTATAATGTCAACTGATTTAAATTGCTTTACTTATTAAAAATTACTTATTTAAAAAGAATATGCATGATGTGCAGAAATTCAACCGATAACTCGTGGGCAGGTAGAGCGGACTAAACCGAGTTGAAAAGTTCTATACCATTTACAATTTTCACAATAGTTAATAAGATATTATTTACCAAATATTGAATATTCGTTTTCAATAACTTTTTAATCAAATACTATCAACTTTACAGAAAAACAGAGACAAAAATTGTTAATTTTTTTCTCATAGAACTCTGAAAATTTTTTCAGAATTTTTTAACACCATATTTTTTCATGTTGATAAAAATAGTTTCTAATATAAGAAAATGCAGTACTAAAAAGTTAACAAAAAATTCTGAAAAAATTCTTAGAATGCTATATGAGAAGAAAATAAACAATTTTTTGTTTCTTGATTCTTTTTCTGTAAAGTTGATAATATTTAAGAAAAAAATTATTGAAGACTAATATTCAGCAATTTTTAGTAATTAATATCTTGTAAACTATTGCGAAAATTGCAAAATACTACGGGACTTTTCAACTCAGTTTAGTCCGCTCTACCTGCCCACGAGCGTTATCGCTTAAATTTCCGAACACTCCGTATATGTATGTGTGTATATATATATATATACACATACATATACATATATATACATACATACATACATACATACACGCACGCACACACACGCGCGCGCGCGTTTTTTTAAATATACACACATATATATATTTAATTATTCTTCAAACATTTTTTTTCATAATATATGCTTCATTATAACAAATCTGCAAATAAAATATATTAGGTGTTGGAATTAATTCGTAGCGTTTTTTAATGAAAGAATGTTATTTATTTCACATGAGCATTAAAAAATACATTAATGAAAGTACTTCCCATCACTTGTAAAACGCTACGAATTAATTCCAACACCTAATAATTACCATTTACTATAAAATAATAATATATTTTTTTTAATTAAACCAATCTCGTGCTATAAAATAATGCATACTTTTAAAAATGTCTAATAAATATTTATAATATTTGTAATCTTGATATTTTCATATTGACGGTTGTTCCATTGTTTGCTTTCCGTATCCAATTATTATGACGCAGAAAATCTTCATTCTATTAGTATATTTAATATAACTACTGCGAGAGATTCAGAGAGACATATAACTCGTAGTTATCGATGACAATGTATAACAACGAATAAATTTTTAATACATTTTTTATTTTTAATGTTGATGACATTAAAGATTACACATAAATATATATAGCAGAAAATAATGTACGTAAAATATTTACAATAATACATTTAGTAATAATCGATAGTTTAATACATATTTATTACATTATTAAAATATATATAAAATATATTTTTTAACTAAAAAATCAAAGTTTAAATAAATTTTAAAAAATTTAAAAAAAACTTAAAAAGAAAGAAATTATTAATAAAAATTTTCTGATAAATTTCTAGACTGAAATATTCATTGTTGTTAGATAACGGAACAGATAAATACGTTCTTCTGTATGAAGAAAGAGCTATATTTTCAAATTTAAAATATTTTAAAATTTATATCAAGTAAAATAAATTAAATTGAAAAAAAATGCAATTGTACAATATGCATGTCTACTTAATAGTCTATTAGTTCAAGACGCATTTAGCAAAATATAAATATATTAGTAATCTATAAAATAAATCTTAAGTTTTTAACTGCATTATGTATTTCTTTTTTCATGATGATTATCAGTCTCATATCTCTAACAAGAAATTAAATTTTTTTTATACATATTTTGTTCAGTTTTGTTTACTCTGTATTATTTTTCTCCCCACAAACGAATATGTAATTATTCACATTTAAAAATTACAAGATTCAATAATTATGGAAAGGTATACAACTATTATTTATATAATTTAATCATTAAATCTAATACATATAGATATCGTATTTATATCTTTTTAAGTTATGATTACAATGAATGTATATTCTGATGAATATATCAGAACAAACTGAGTTTTTTTACGAGAATATTTACACTGCATACAGTTCACCAGGTGTCCTTTAAACGAATTTGTTTATTTGTTTGATTTTCTGAAATATATATTGAAAAACTAGTCGGTTTATTGAATTAATTTTAAAAATAATTTATATAGAATATAGGGGAAAAATTTATCTTAATTGAGATTTATCTAATAAAAAGTGCAAGATTGGTCAGAAATAGTATTGTGATTTCTTTCTTTATAGTGAACATTTCATTATGCATTCATTTGTTCCATTTGAGATTATAAGATTACATTTCGTCAGAATACGCATTTACTATAACCACCTATTTCTAACATTTTAGATAAATTCATTTTGAATAAATTCATTAAAATTAAAATAAAACAAGTTTGTTAGAACATCCAGTGTATCCGTAGTCTTAATGGCATAATCATCTATTATTCTCACTTTATATTAATATCTTTCAATATATTGATCGTGTATAGTAAGAGAGTACAGATCAAAGTAAAAATTAAAAAGTTCACATTTAACACTAAACGCAGCATCACATGGCAGTGAATGTACGAGCTTCGAAAATGTTTTGTTCACTTGCTTTCATTATGAGATTTCATATGCGAGTTTAATGAGCCCTGTTGCGTAAATCTCTTCTGACACACCTTACATTCATAAGGTTTCTCGCCGGTATGCGTTCTTAAATGTACGGTTAGATATTTCCGTACGCTAAACGCCTTGCCACATACCTCGCAAACGTGTGGCTTCTCGCCTGAATGTATACGCATATGAATTTGCAGATACGTTTTGCTGCTGACAGATTTCCCACACACTTCACATGTAATTTGATTTTCGCCAGTATGTATCTTAAGATGCACTTTTAATGCGGCCTTCCAGTAGCTTTCGAAGTCGCAGATATTGCACTTGTGCTTCTCCCTCTCGCCATGGGATCTCATATGCATATTGAGATATGCAGCGCTCGCATACGGGGTGTTACATATCTTACATATAAATGGCTTCTCGCCGGTGTGAGTGAGCAAGTGCCGCTCCAATGTTTGATTCGTGTAAAAACCTTTGTTGCAAGTCTCACAATGAATCACATATTCTTGATTGTGTTTCTTTTTGTGCAGACGCAAATCATATCCGGAAACTTTTGATACACCACATATGTCACAGGTGAAACGTTTATTATGCTGCTTCAGATGAGTCTTCAAGAACTCCTCGGTCTTGAAACACTTGCCACACATAACGCATTGAAAAGGCTTCTCCTTTTGGTGTGCTTTGATCCTATGTTTTTGCAGTTTCTCGTGATTATCAAAGATTTTATCGCACTCTTCGCAACGATCTTCAGTCTTTGAATTCCTCTCGTGGTCTTGTCTGTGCTTCAAAAATTGTAGCTTCTTGAGCATTTGCTTCCCACAAATTTCACACTCGTAAACTGTCGCACGTTTGCGATTCGAATCGTGTTCAGAAACCTGTTTTAGAATACATATCTCCGACGCTTCTGGTTTGTCGTTCGGATCTTCTATTCTTCTAGGCTTATATTCAATCGTTTCCATAATTATTTCTTGATGACCAATGTGATGATACTCTTCCGCTATAGGTACTTCGTCTTGATATCGTACTAATTCTATATCTTGCAATTCGTCAATTGGATCCAGCTTTATGTCTTCTATGTCGATCTCGTTGCACCTGTAATAAATAAATCTGTCAACAGCGCGAGGAAGTAACAAAGAACTATTATAATATAGTATCAGTTGACAATTGATTTACTTGAGCTAAACATTTTCACACATTCTTGATAAGTTTTCCACAGGAAGCACTTTTATTATACTTATTGAGTCGATCAATTTGCCAATAAATTTGATTATCACTATTCGACTTGATTCCAAAATTAGATAATAACATAAACTTAAGACCGTTTTATAATGCTTGTTAGATTTATAATCATATATGTATATTATATTTTTAAAGTTAAATACATTATAAAACATTTTATTTTGTAAAGTTATATAAAGTTATATAAACTTTACTATTTATATAAACTTTTCTTAACATTTTTATAAATTGTCTAATTTAAAGATACAGTATACATTCTGAAGATACAATTTACACAATCAATATCTCTTTTCTAAAAGCATGATTGTTTAATCAAAATAATTCTTGTTTTTAATCAGAGAGAATTTTGCATTCTTTCTACCAGAATAATTTTCATATATTTTATATTTCGATTAACTATTTTACTCGATTATTAATTGCTGTTAAAAATTTGATCATAAAAGATATTTTACACACACTTTATTTTTCTAATTTATTTCAAAAATCTTATATATTTAAATTAATTATGAAACGATTGAAAGCGGAGTATAAATTATAAATAATATAACAAATTACAGAAGCACATTGAAATTTATTGTATTACATAATGTATACAAGTTAATACAAAGTTCAATTGAAAAAATAAATTTATTTGATCTTATCTGATCAATATTTTAATTATGAATCTAAAAACAAGTATTTATTAACATTGCATGTAACAATATATTAAATAATAGTATAGTTCGAGAAAGTATGTAAATTAATAAACAATAAGATATTTCATTAATAAAATTTAATAACCTTCGTGCAGTTTTTTTAAAACTTCATTAAGTCATGTTTTCATGTATCACTGAATTAAATCCAAAATTAAAAATAAATAATTAACTTCATATTTTCATAACATAACTTAAACTATAATTAATATCACTATTATTCGATTAACTATGCAGATCATATGGAACATATTAAATAAGCAATATTAATATAAAATAATAATTCCATCAATGAATTAACAAAAATTACACTAATTAACATCAATGTTGTGTGATGCAAATATAAAGTCAGTTCAAAAAGAATTATATAAGATTTTGGAGAAAAAATAAAAAAAAAGAACAGAAAAGAAAACGCTTTCATTTAGGATTTTCGTGTCTTCGAAGATGCGCAGTAAGAGTACCCCGTTGAGTAAAACGTTTCTCGCAGATTTTACACTTGTAAGGCTTTTCACCAGTATGAATTCGCCGATGTTTAACCAAATACTTTCTAGCGCTGAACGCTTTGCCACAAAATTCACAAATCTCCGGTTTCTCACCAGTGTGTATTCTCATGTGAGTCTTCATGTACTGTCGTCTGATTAACTTGCCACATACTTCACATGTCACACTGTTCTCACCGGTGTGAATCCACATATGCTCCTTGTAATAACAGTTATAGAATGTTTCAAAACTGCATATATCGCACTTAAATTTCTTCCTCGTCTCAGCATGAATCTTCATGTGATTTCGGAGGTTGACTTGATTTCTAAAGGATTTGTGACAAATCTCGCAGATACAGGGCTTTTCATCGATATGCATGGCCATATGATACTTCAGAACAGCCTTTAAGTAGAAGCCCTTATTGCAAATTTTGCAGAATTCCGTAAACTGCTTGTTGTGCCGCCTGATGTGCATCTTTAGATAATATTCTGAAGTTAGCTTCGCGCCACACATCTGACAAATGTGCGGTGCGCCATGTAATGTTTTGTGCACATTCAAATACTTCTTCTTCTTGAATACCTTATGACACTGATCACACTTAACGGGACCTGCTGACAATTCCTCATTTTTTTCTCGAACCTTCTTGATTTTTTCTGTGTTTTTAATTTTCTTTGTCTTCTTAATTGTTTCTATAACTGTTTCTTTCCATTCCTGTTTCTTTTGTATGTCCAAAAGTTGTCTACATTGTATCCGGCGATGGTTAATCAATTGCAACTTTTTCAAGAAAGTCTGTCCGCATATACTACATTCGTGTTTCTTTTTTTCTGCTTGACGCAACGCTTCTCGGGTTCTTAGTATTGATTGTTCCGTTCTATGCACAATCAAACTGGCTTCTGTATCAAAATCTTCATTGCATGAATCACAGTGGTACGCGGTTACCTCTTGAACAAGAATTGTTCGTGCAAAAGTTTTGTCATTAATCTCTTGAAGAATAACGAAGGCTGCGCTTTGATCTTCCCTTTCTACAAGTTTTTGAGGTACTCTAGAAATCCATTTTTTCGTTCTGAAAAGAAATAAAGAAACAGATTATATTTATAATTAAAAAATAAATGTTTTTATCTCTAAAATAAGATATTTAATCAATTCATGTTACATGTTAGACAATTAGACGATAGACATCATTATATAAGATATAAAATTGTACAGATAAAAGAAAAATTATATAATAAAGCAAATTATAAAGTGAACAAATCAATAAAGTTTATTTAAGTAAAAAGGCACATCTTTTATATTCATTAAAGTCTTGAAGTGTAGTAAGAAATTTAATTAAATATATCAATATAAAATATTAATGTCAATATAAAATATTAAAATCTTGTTACTTACTGTACAATTGGAAAGCTGCGATCTCAGTGACACATCGAGTTAAATATTTCATATATCATACAAATTATTGAAAATCAAAGTACTAAGAAAAAATATATGTAAGTCTAAGAAAAAATAAATAATCCTTCCAAAATATTTGTAAAATCAAATGACTATTAAAAGAATTCAATATTTTACTTATAATTATAACTATTTTTTAAATATTTTATATTCAGACGTTTTCAAAAAATTTTCAAGAATATTTCTAAAGAAATACATTTTATTGGAATAATCGCTTATACAAAAATAATATTAAAATAAAATATAAATTACGTAAAAATAAAAATATTATTCTATGTAAAGTATCACGCAAAAATATCAAACTTTTTAAATGTATAAAACAAATTAACATTTGGAAATAAAGACAATATTTTCTGCCAATTCCTTGTGAAAAATTTGGATTTCTTTTATTGTCAATATCTGAAGTTAAATAATACATGATATAAGAAATTAATGTTCACAAGAATATAATATAATTTAAATACTGCTAATAACAATTGTGTAAAATGCGATGAAGCATAATAATAATAATTCTATATTACTTAACCATTATTCCAATTTTTTTTTATAGAAAAATAGTATAATTATAAAAAATTAAATCTCTAATATTTAATTTATGATTAAGTTATTCCATTTTCAGCTAATCTGTGATAATTTACCTACTGGATAAACAAAAAAGTAAAAAAGTAAGGTGGTCCACCTTTTGGTAAATTCTACCTATTAGATAAATCTGGCAATCCGCGCATGTAATTTGGGTAATCTTGCTATTTACCTAAGGTAAAATTTACCAAAAGGGACAACCCAGTCTAAACAAAGATACTTATAATCAAATGTATTTTTTATTATTACAAGATTATCAAAATATAAATTTTATTTTATCAAAAAATACTTCAATTAAGAATTTTAATTTCATTTCTTTCTTTTGTAAAAAAAAATAAAACTAATTAATAAAAGTCAAACTAATTATATTGTTATTCATAAATGGATATAATTTCACTGGAAGATAAAATATATATTCATAAAGTTCTGTAAAACTACAGCAATTTTTATTAGACACTATCATATCATTAATCGCCAATAATAGATATTCTCAATTTTTATATAATCGTGTATAACTTTCTCTTTAAACAATATAACAATAAAGGCACAGAAAACTTCTTGATTTGTAACAATTAGGCAAATATTATATTCAAAGAGCGTACAATTATTTACACTAGAATATATCATTAATGAATTTCTATAAAGATAAAGACGGGCAAATATCAAATATATAACTATCTGTTTATGTATCATATTAGTATTACAAGTAAAACAAATATAAGCATAAATTTAAAAAATACTGTTACAGTAATAAAATTAAAAAGTTATGGACGGCTTATAAAGCTTATACAGCTTGTGAAATCACTCGCTTTTTCTGATGTTTTGAACATAATAGACAAACCTCAAATCGCTATATGCAAATGTACAAGAACTATTTTTTCTGCTTCGAATTTGTCTTTATTAATTTATTTACGGCAAAATTTAGCAAATCTTTTCATAATTTGATCGAATTTCATAAGGTAATTTATTTTTTTAATAAACATGTATTGTATAGTTAGTTTGCAAAACGTTTTTACATAATTCTTTGATCGATAATTATACTCACATTACTCATCGACTATAATAAAAATTGGCATTATCTTGTAAGTCTTTTAAATTAAACATTATGCATAAACATCAATAATATCAGACTTAGGAATAAGAGAGTACCTACCTCACTTAAACTGAATTAGTGAAAATTTCATTAATGATTAAAACAGAGTAATATAGGACTTCACTGAGAATCAATAAATGTTTCATTTATTTTTTAATGTAGATATTCATACTTTGCTCTTCTATCTCACTGGTTGTGGCTAAGAAAAGTGAAATTAACAATAATAATACACATCCGTGTCATATTTACAAAATTTTTTTATATTTTGAATTGCTATTTTTTTTGAAGAAATTTTCATGTTTAAAATCTACATAACTAGTATTCAAATTGAGAATCATGTATTATGTTCATTTATAATCATAATCGAAATCTGTTACTGTTCATTATTTTCAGCAATCCAATATTACAAAACAATTTCAAAGTGTTTGAACTTTTGTATAAAAATTCCTTAAAAATTTATTTTTGTTGAAAATTTTAAAATTAAAGAATTTCCTAATGCAAATATAAAATAATTTAAGTGAAATTTAAGTGCAAGTAATATAAATAAAGCATATTGAAAATTAGTAGCAGACAGGAATTCTAGAATAGCAGGGTTGCCACAGAAAATGAATTTTAAAATTCCCTGACTTTTCCAGGTTTTCCAGAAAAATGAGAAATTTCCAATAAAATAAAAAATTTTAACATTTAAAATCAAGAATTGTAAGAAAAAATTATATTATTAAAAATGCAAAAGAAACTTAGTAACATAATAAAATTTTCGGGGCAGATTCAAGCCAATGAAAAATAAATTAGTATTGGAAAAAAGAATGCAGTTATGACGAATAAAAGCGATCAAATAAAATTACTAAATAAAATATAAATTTTTATTTTTATTTTTTTAAATCGTTTAGTGCACGAGTTTTGAGCGTATTTGACTATAAACGTCAGATATAATATTTAAAAAATTATAAAAATTATTTGAAATAGAAGCAGTTTAAGGGAATTACGAGCAAAGTTCAAAATTCCAGTCTCTTTTATATTTTCTCCTGATATTTTTCCCAGTTTTTTATCAATTTTAATTTCCTTGACTTTTCTCAGTTTTCCAAATCTGTGGCAATCCTGAGTAGAGGTAGTTTTGACCTATTATTTTTTTATAATTATTTTTTAGATATCTATAGAATAATACAAGGAAGGCGCATTACAATGCAATATTAATAAACTACTTTATTCTGCTGACAATAAGTATTGTTTTCTACTGTTACCCTTATTTTTTTTAATAAAAATTTGCGAAAAGAGAATGTACGTGAATATACGCGGATGTGCATACCATACTTATTGCTAATTCTCAACATTTTACATTATCAAGAAAAAATAATCAATGAAATGTTTTCAGGAAAAGAGAATTTAAAAATAAAATTTCAAAAATTTTCTTGATTCTAAAATTCCATGAATCTCTAATTTTCAAGAATAAAACAGAAATTTTTTGAAAATTGCAAATTTTCGAAACTTTCCAGGTCGTAAATAATATATACTGTATTTTTGTAAATAATATCTTCCAGTAAAATATCATTTAAAAAATACAGTACTAAGTACAACTGCGCTACTATATCTTTTACAACTTTTAGTACTGATATAAACCGATTCCGTTTAGGAAAAATCCTGATTCGATAAATACTTGTTCACATTTTAATCGAGCAATGCTTATTACAAGTATATTTTTCATCTAACATAACATAGCATTACTACTAAAGCAAATTTGTTTTACAATATACTTCCACCAGTTATTTTATAAAATTAAAACGCTCAATGATTTGTGTAAATTGCGAAGTATCTGGCAGTTATTTATATCTATTCTTTGCATATTCTGCTAATATCACTTACGCTGATGAAACATAAAAGAAATAAAGCTTGATTATATAAAAAAAGTATAAGATCTAAACAATCACTGTCCTAACTATAACACTATAGTGACCGTTTCGTACGGCACTGATTCCTCTTCCTGTTGCGAACTTTCTTGCTGCTGTTGCTGCTGTTCCTGTTGTTGTCGAGCGTTTTGTTTCGCGTGCGTTTTCAAGTGCGAGTTCAGCATCGTTTTTGAAGCAAATGATTTATGACAGTATGTACAGGGATAAGGCCGATCACCTGTGTGACCTCGTAGATGTACTACTAACGTAGTCCGTTGGGTAAACCTTTTCTTGCAATGAGTGCATTGATGTGGTTTCTCACCCGTATGCGTGCGACGATGCACGCTCAGGTAGTTCTGCGAAATAAAGCCTTTGCCACAAACGTCGCAAACATGAGGTTTCTCGCCGGTGTGCTTGCGCTGATGCACCGCGAGATAAGTCTTGCTGGATACGGACTTGCTGCATATCGTGCACACGTATTCGTTTTGTGGTCCCGCGTCGTGAGTCTTCATATGCATCAGTAATACTTGTCTCCGAGAGAAACGCTTGTTGCACAGCTCGCAGTGGTGTTTTCTTTGTGGCTGTACATAGTCCGGTTGATGTAGCTTCGAGTGCAATCGTAGACCTTGACGGTAGCGAAATGTGGCGTTACACACGTCGCACTGAAACGATTTTTCACTCGCATGCGACAATAGATGTACCTGACAGTTGCTCTTGCTCTGGAATTGTTCGCCGCATTCCTCACACTGATATTTGTAATTAGACACATTGTGGCACTTCTGGTGAGTGATTAAGTTCTCTTTGCGGGTGGTCACATAGTCGCAGTTGTCACAGCTAAAACAGTCTTCGGCAACGTGTTTCTTCTGATGCTCACGCAGCTCTGATATCGTCATGAAGGTACAGCCACAATTTTCGCAAACTAATTGCTCATCCTGCTGTATTTGTTCTTCCGAATGAGATTCATGCATCTTTAAATGCATATTAAAAGCCTGTTCGCAGATGAAATTGCCGCCACAGAATTCGCATTTCAAGGACTTCCTCTTCGATTGTTTGGGCTCTGCCTGTAACTGCTTCAGCTTGACCGGCTTGATGAAGATCTGCTTGATTACGCTGGACCCGCATTGCTGCCGATCCTGAGGCAGCACCGAGAGTCTTGACACAAAATATCTGGAAAGAAGAGAGACACAAACGGAAGTCAATCAGTGTTCGTTCCTTGCTGCCTCTTTCGTTGCCTTAACCAGGCCTTACGTGATACGCGAGATATGTACAGGGATGATCAGCTGAACACTCGCTCGATTGTATGGAAGTTGGGTAGTCAATAAAGCGCCCCACTTGTGATTTCCAGTATTCTCTTTATTACGTAGCCATCTGCCTTTTATTTTCTCTCATCAATATCTTATTATACGCTTAAACAATGATTATTCGCGAACGAACACTGTCGTCTTCTGTACTACTTGTACTTGCAATCTTGCTTACATGTCCTTGTAGCATACAATTCGCAACTACAAAATACCATTTATATTCTATGCTTTCTTAATACTAATATTGTGTTTGTATTGTGTTTGTTAATAAAATGCGGCCGTCTTAACAATGCTAATTATATTAACAATCATACCATATTTTCTTTTCTTTTAAGTGCATAATCTCACTATTCTTGCTTATAATATATACAGAATGTTGTATTACTATCATACGAGTCATAAATTTAATTATAGATTTTCCAAAAAATTTTGAATTACTTAATTTCCTCTCATAGAAAAAGTAAAATTTGTCAAACTTTCGTAATCTTTAATGTCAAATATACTTGCAGATAAATAATTTTCAAATTGAAAATTAGTATTAATTAGTTTTTATTATATTTATTAATATAAAATAAGTAATATTATCTGATACCACATTCATTTGTTCCAAGAATTAATATTATTTGGTACACCCATTTGTTCCAAGGATTAATTGATTAAAATTTGATTTTCAATTATTTATATCCGATGTAAATAATTTATATTTTTTAATTGAGCTTTTAATACCTAAAAAATGCGTCCATATTATCGAGCCAAACCTTAAGCGAAGCTTCGAACTGAACTTTAAGCAGAGCTTTAAGTGAAATTTCAAGCCAAACTTGAAACTGAAATTAGAAGCGAGCTTTGAATCGAACTTCGTATGTCTTGTATGCATATTTGACTACATAAAACATACAATTAAAACCATTATATAGATCGCTGAAATGCTCGCAATGCTCCCGATACTCTCTAAATTCAATTCAAGGTTCGATTGGAAATATAGCTCGAAACTCCCTTTAATGTTTGACTCAATAATCTGAACTATCTCAAGATCGAAAAAATATCCTATAATAGAAATACCCTGTATAACATACTCGTATAAATGTACATTTTTCTCTGCACACAGTTTTATTACTATAATTTATTAATTTAATATTATATAATAAAAAATTATTACGTACTATTATATAAATGTTAAAAAGAGTTTCGTTTTCTTTTCTTAAATATATATAAAGGAGTAAAGAATCAACTAGGTAATTGTAATTAATGTCTTATATGCAAAATTATATGAACATTTTGATAAATGTATTATAGAAAATTAAGATATTGTTCATATCGCGAAAGCAGCTTTAAAAACTGTTCATGTAATATTTGCACATTACAGAAAATTATGTCCATTAATTATAGTTATTTGGATGTTAATATTTTTTATCCACATTTCTAAAATCTAAATTACAGACTGATATTGAAAGATTGTTCGCTTGAACAATGACAGCGAATAATCAGACAGTGAAAATTTGATTAAGTTCAAGCAATCGATCACTAGAGAAATGATGATGCAGATACTTTTCATCAACATTTTGTACTTTTTATCAACTGTATTCATTTGCTTAAAAAAATTCACAAGTGTAAAAAGAACAAAGTAATTACTTATAGTTAATAGTTCTTTAACTTATTGAAGTTAATGTTTTTCGAATTAATGTTAATTCGCTTCAGTATGTTTCAATATAAATTTTAGTACCACAAATGTACGTGTTTCTTAAATTTTATTTATTAAAACATTTATTTAGAAAAGTCACATTTCTTCTGCTTACATTACAACTACATTAAATTGTAACGTCAAAAATCAGAGAATAAATAAAGAGAATTCTTTCAAAAATTATATTGAGCATAAATATTTTTTAATAAAACATACTAATTAACATTCTAATTAAACATACTTGAAAAATGTATCGAAAAAACTCTTCTTTTATTTTGAAATAAAATAAAATATATATTTATTTTAACAACTGCCATATTTTGTTTCTCGGTTGAATTCAATTCCAGATATATACAGGGTGGGTCATTTAAAATCGATCATCCGAATAACACCCATAGTTTTGGAAATAGGAAAAATGTTTTAGATGAAAATGGAACGATTTCAAGGGGGTATTTTGGTTATGTTGTTTTTCTTCTAGGTGGAAGCGTCAAAAAGATATGAAGATATTACCTCAATTTTTTTTTAATGGAATTGTATAATTTTTTTAAGTAATATGATTTCTCTAATTATTCTGCATATAAAAGTATTAAGGTAAAGATATCAAAAAAACAAGTTTACGAGATATTTTGACACATATTGTGACATAAAATGTTAAATAATTCGTAAACTATTAAATTTTTTGATAATCGTACTTTAATACTTTTATAAACAGAATAATAAGATGAATCAATTGATGAAAAGAAAATACATAGCTGTTTATTTAAAAAATTATCCATTTTGCATGCAAAATTTTTTTTTTTAGCAACTATGTATTTTCCTTGATTTATGTCATTATTTTGTTCATAAAAGTATTAAGGTACGATTATTAAAAAATTAATAATCAGTCATTTAACATTTTATGTCACAATATGTATATCGATAAAGTATAAAATATCTCGTTTACTATTATATTGGATTTTTTCTCTACCTTAATATTTTTATATGCAGAATAATTAGAGGAATCTCTTCAGAATATTGTAAAAAAAATAGAATTTTAAAAAATGGAGGTGACTTTCAAATCTTTTTGACACCTCTACCTAGAAGAAAACATCAAAGCACGTCTCTCTTGAACCGTTCCACTCTCGTTTAAAACATTTTTTCCTATCTCCAAAACTGAGTTATACCCCTTATTCAGGTGGCCGGTCTTAGTGATTCATCTTGTATATATAATTATCGATTACTGGAATATACAAGGCGTTTTTACAAATCTATTCTAATTGCTAATATTATTTTATTGAAAAATACTTATATTTTGAATATTTTGCTAGAATTTTCTTTATGTATCTTTCCGTTTCCAAGTTACAATTTAAGACTGCTGAAAAAACAAGAGCTTGTGATGTAGAATTTTTTGTTATCGAAAATCTCGTAAATAAAACATAAATTTAATTACAATTTAAAAAAATGCACTTTGTCTTTTTACGTATTTAAATATAATTGATATAAATTATATGTATGTAGTTGAGCAAATATAAATAAATAAATAAATATTATGTATCTTGCAAGAATACATTTTGTATATTTAAAACAAAATAAAATCAATCTCATTATTTGAAAAATTCTGCAATATATATATCATCGTTAGATTAATATTAGCATAAATATGATAACACGATTTTCGCAAAAGATATTGTCAATTTTTGACTAATCAGCAATATGTACACAGAGATGCACGTATGACGTACGTTTGCAAAAATGCTGTCTAATGTTATATTAATAGAAAAAAAATACATTTATGTAACACTAAAGTCGAAAATCTCTGCGAAAAATCATTAAACACAATCATTTATTCTATCTGCAGATCTACCTTCGAATTGCACGTAACTTCTAGGACTATATCTAGATATTTAAGCGTCTTCATACTTACATGTCACATTTACGTAATTCATATAACACGTTCTACCCTGTCTTTCATCCCATATTAATTAAAGGCACCTGAATTCAGTTGAAATTAGTTATCATATTATATAGAACAATCGGTCAACAATTTCATTAACATAATTAAAAATGTAATATTAATGCAAGAAGCATAAAAATAATTATTAATTATTAAATTGTTTTTGAAACTTCAATTTACTTCACGATTAAAAAATTAAATAATTTAGAAGATCGAACTTTTAGGCACTTTATATTATTGCACAGGTACTAATTTCTCTTATTAGAAACTAAATTATGCCATATCAATGTTCATTTAAAAAGATAGAAAGTTCCGCGTTTAAGAATATTCATTATTCTAAATATTTTGTATAATATACAAACAATATCACAGTGATGACAACATTTATGATTATAGCATATAATTGTTCGCGTACTTTTATCGTGATTTTGTGATTTGATTATTAAATATATTTTATCCGAAACTATACGGAATTATATATTATTATGTAGACAGTTCATAAAAAGAAATTAATTTATACATTTTAATTCGTAACGTTTACCATATTATATCGACTTACTATATTGCGAGTAACTTGAGTAATTTTAGGCACTTGTTAGATATCAACACACTATACAATTTTCATATGAGATTACGTCCAATTAAAAATATTTTACTTTTATAGAATTTTATTTCCAATAAAATATTTGTTTTTAAAAAAAATTATACACACTAGCTATTAAATTTGTTTCAATAATTAAAAAAATGTCATTTTAATCTTTTGCAGATTTTTTTTCCATTTAAATTATTGAATTGCTTTCTTTCAATTCGATCAAAGTTGATTTAAATTTCTCAATATTTTTATTTATTTTTTTTTTTTTTTTAGAGTGTTGAAATATGGATTCTGAGATCACAAATAAGATTTTTGAATATCAATTACATTTTGAATTTGATCGTTAGCTTAATGTTTCTTCATGTGATTAAGCATAATCGTTCGCGTAACAAATCCCTTTCCGCATAGCGTACAGGTATACGGACGCTCTCCCGTATGATAACGGCGATGCACGGTGAGCGTCGACGCTTGCGTGAATGATTTGCCGCACATGGCACAAAGATACGGCCTCTCGCCGGTGTGAATGCGCTGGTGCACCACGTAATACTTGCGATGCGTGAAGCCCTTGCCGCATACGTCGCAGACTAGCGGTCGCGATCTGTGCACCGCCTTATGCGTGGTCAACGATTCGGCAGTCGCAAACTGCTTGGAACATGAGTCGCAAGGATAAGAAGGTAGGGGCTTGACGGGAATTACAGGTCCACCACTTCCACCGCCGCCGGCACCGCCACCGACAACACCGAGATTGCCGGTTATCACCTGATCGACAGGCGACGACACCGCATTCGTACCCGCGACTATCCGATTTTCATTACTCGCCGGCAACGGTCTGTGGGTTTTCGCGTGGTGATTATACAAATTGCGCGTTTCGAAGCGCATCAAGCATCTTGGGCAGGAATAGGGTTTCTCTTGGCCGATCTCTTGGTGCATCCTTCGATGACGTTCCAGTAGTGTGCGATATCGAAAGCTGGCCTGGCAGAGATCGCAGGCGAATGTTTTTTCCATGTTGCCACCGGGTGATGTAGCGAGATTGGCGGAGGTTGACGCGCATGTGGGCATGGGCGTAGAATGTGTAACTTCGTGCATCCTCAGGTGATTTAAAGCAACGAAGGTCCGCGAGCAGATTGCGCACGAGTACCGCGGCTGATTCTCGATACCATGCTCGAATTCCGGACGCGCGGCGTGACTTGTTCGCATGTGGTAGTTTAGCTTAAGGGTACTTCGGAACTCCAGCCCGCACGTAGGACACGGATAAGACTCAGTAAAGATTTGCACCTGATCAAGCAGAGACTGGTCCGGACACACGGATTGAAAATGCGGGGGAAGCAACGTCGACGAGAGCATCGACGATTGGTTCGAAAATATCGAGTTGGTCTGTAGGAGATTACAATTGACGGACATACCGGCCTCCCCGATCTCGGGTGAGGGCGAGAGAATTTGACGCAGCATCCCTGATAATCCACCGAAGGTCTCGCCTCCTTCCCTGAAATTGACAAAACCCAAGAACATTGCAACGGAGAACGACCCGTGAGCACACACAACTTTCGTCTTTTGATTCTGTTTTTTGTGATCATTACAAATATATCTTGCATACAGGCGGTGATGAGAGAAAGAGAGGAAGAGAAAGATAGAAAAAAAAGATAGATTTATGCTTATGTGAGTGCTGCAAGGTGGCCGGTGCAAGGTGCTTGGGCATTGCTGGCATCCCTCTCGAAACGCAGCAATAATAACAATAATAATAATAATGTGTTACAAGAGCGCATGTGCGAATCGAGAAAGTCGTCGCGATTGTCGTCAAGTCAAACAGCATTGGAAGTTTCATCATCCACTACATGAATACTGATCAAGCTTTCCGAATTCATAAGGCTTATATGATAGTATTTAAATAATATTAGATAAATATTACATGATAAAAATGACTTATTAATTACGCGCGCGACATGAAATGATTTTGTAGAGTCTCATCATATCGTGTCCATTAATAATTAATTATAATTAAAAATATATATACATTAAATGTATATATATATATTAGATATTCCCTAACGATATAGCAGAAGGGAAAAATAAAGATCAAGCCATAAAATTTGGCAAAAAGAGTTTGAGAAAAGCAAATTTTTACTCAAAAGACTCACTAATGATTTGAAATAGAACATGTTAAAACGCAAATTAAATCAGGTATAAAAAAATCTCACCTTTTATAAGCATTCCATTACGATATGGCATCTTCTTCTTATTTGCACACCGTAAAACGAAGCGATTTTTCACATGTATACTCGTGTCCAACACATCGTAACATGTTATTTTAACATATCACTAATATACCGAATAAGATAAAAACGTAATTAAGAATTGCAATAAATATGATAGACGAAAAAGAAGATCAAACGTATTATTCAATACTGAGAGATGAGTGACTGAATCTATAAAAGTTTGACATAGTAAAAGCACAAAAAGTGCTATGTATCAATCCTTCATATATTAGATGCTCACTATACTCAAAATTGAACAATACAATTTTCTCCGTCCACAAAAGCGTTATAAAAATTTATAATATAAAATGATATAGAATATTGCGAAATATCAAATATTGCAGCCAATTCAAGGCGCGATAATTAACAAAATTTTCACATATTTCAAACGCGAAACCGGCGCCATTATAATGCAAGCCTGGTTTATCATTTGTTAAAAAGAATTATCCCTCGCGATATATTTTTTTGCACTTATGAAAGCGCGAAATAATACGCGCAATTCAAGCAATGTGCATAAATAACTCATAATCGCGTCGGGATATTTATAAGAGAATAAGAGAATCTTCATTCGATACCAAAATGGCATCATAAACTTGTCACAGATAATACAAATTCGTATATTAGTATTATTGATACAAATTCGCATTATTTTATTTGCATATAAGAGATGGCCTATAAATAAAATAGAATGTAGAAAAGATGATACTCGCCTTTGTGTTTACAAAAATCCTCTTGATTCAGCAGTCGCTTACGGACGATTCTTTCTTTTGTTTCGCAGAAATCTTCGAATCGGAAGAAATACAATCCTTCATCTTCTTCAACATCCAAATTCTTAACCATTCTTAACCGATTTATTTTCTCGGTTAAAATACACTATTACGCAACAATTTTATCGTCTGACGAATCATATGTAAAATTTATAAACGATCTCGTAAAACACGTATTTTTTTATGTAGATTAAAAGTAACTCTTAAGATTAGTCGTAACAATAGAGTAATAATGTCCTGGCAATATCGTAAAGCGCAGGCGTCGGAAAGCACGAAGATCATAAATCAGAAATAGTAGATATACGTTGCATTAAAAAAATATCTATCGTCTGTGATTTTTTTGGATCGGCCGAATATCGGTCATGTGCGGCATTTAGTGCCATCACGTAAGCGTGGGAATATTAATATCGACAACATGTAAACATTTGATTCATGAGTGGACAAAGAGATCAGGCTGGTTTCTCTCAGGCATCACTTTTGCTAGATGAGAAATTAATTTTTTTGTTATATAATTTACCTGGATAATCCAGAGAAATCCCTTTATCCATTTTTTTGCACATATATAAATAATGTCTAACAAAGTCCATTTCGATTAAAGTATAAAAGTAATATCAAGTTCGATAATATATAAAAAACATTATTACAAAATTAATATCAAGATCGTGTTTTATCGAAATGCACTTTATGTACATGCTACCACATGTAAAACTAACAAGGTGCTTAGCAATTTGTATTCTAAATTTCATCGCGTAATACATATTTTCTTAAATAACATACAAAATCATTTAAAATTAACGTAAATGTTATAATATATAGAAAATTTAAATTGTTATATTTAAATTGCTAAACACCTAGGGCCAAAGATGGTTGTGGGGTGTGTTCAAACTTACCTTGTGTTTACCTGGATCTTACATTCATAAGAATTAAAGCTACAGATGTAGTTATTGTCTATCTTGCATTTTCATTTCTATCTTACAGACTCAATAATTCTTTCAAAACTTATTAACAAATTTTTTAAAGAAAGAGCATGATGCATAATTAAAGACAGTTTAAAACAGAGCACAATATACGCACATTAGATATTGATTTTTTTTTTATAGAAATAAATATACTTCAATACTATTGATAACTTCTATTTTAAGTTACTGAAACTACTTTTCTATAATAATTCATTATCGTTCAATACGTTCATTATTGTTAAATTTATTCTATTTATACATATCGTTGATTTGATAATTACGAATTCATTCAAACTTAAATAAAATTGATAAAAATAATGAGTAAATAAAACCAACGCAAAATGTTTATGTATGATTGTATATGTTTACCACAACAAATGGCACCTTTGACCCTTAAACAATAAAATAAAACAGAAAACTCACCCAGTTTTCGGATCCACATCTGATGTTTGTGGTATTACTATCTCCGGCATATCTGTAATTTTCTGTTGTTGAAGTCCTGAAGGTCCTGCTTCATCACACGCCAAAGAAACGTTGACAAATGTTGTAGGCTCAATAGTTCTATTATTAGGATCTTCTTCACTTTCTTCTTTTATAGGTAGGCCTAAACAGAATTTAAGATTTTTTTTCCTTCCTATTTTTCTAAACTTTTTTGTTATTTGCCTAGTAATTAAATACATGTACTACAAGATATAATGAATGAGGACAAATATGTATACCTTCGTCTCCATCACATTCATCGTCCGAGTTTTCATCTTCATCACTGCTCTCGTCTTCTTCTTCCTGTTGCGTAGGCGCGTCTGTTTGATTCTGTGTGATTTGGTCATGTGTCGTTTGCGTACTTGGTCCAGCTACTGGTTGAACATTTTGTACAGAGCTACCACTGTTGTCCATAGGAACTGAAGTTATTTGTTGCTGGGTATTACTTGACATCATCATGGGCATACTGAGGCTCATGTTGTCCATCATACTCATATTCATATTGTTCTGATGTTCGCTTACTTGTTGCATCACAGTACCATCTAACCTGTTCTCATTGTTCTGATCTGACTTTAGTCCGTTCTAAAATGAAACAGACATAAGTTTTGTATTTATTAAGAAATAAAAGTTTCAATAAATTAAACCTAATTTATATTAATATTTATATTAATATTTAGTTTTCTAATTAAAATAATCCAACTTATCTTTTTAATTATCTAACCATTATATCTCATGTAATATCTTTATAAAATTTTTCAATTAGTAATGCATATCGGAAAGGTTATAATATAAAATATATAAAAATATAAAATATAAAGTAACAAAACAAACTTACAATTATACAATATGCAAAATATTACTAGCTATCATCATCGCTAAGGAGTTATGATAAACATAGACAAAAGAAGAATCAAACAAATGATACTCTATAGATTTATATTATTTTTAAAGGCTCTCTAAATTTTCAAGATTGTGCAGTATTGTACAAGGTGTGCATAAAATTTTTCGTAAGTTTGTCAAAAAAAATTAAATAACAAATAAATTATATGAAACAGTAATTACCGGATTGAGAACATTATAACCCTGTTTGTCTTCCATATTCACTTCGCCTAGCCATTGGAGCAACTGTTTCTCAGCATTTGCTGTCGTATGCCAAAATTGATAACATAACTCTACTTTATACACACAATCATCGCATATCTTCTTAGGTAATTTGTCTTCCCTGTTCACCTATAATCATAAAAAGAAAATTCATGAGACATCACATCTCGTATACACTGTAATATTTCAGTTTGTATCAAAATTATATTTCAATACATTAAAATTACGAAGTTATTACATCTCAAGTTTGTTAAAACTTAAATTAATTCAATTCATTAATATAATGAATACTATAAATATTATAATGGATGTATATTGACGTAGATTTCAATAAAATTGTTTTCTGGAAATTGCCTCTCGGAAGCAACAAACACAAGAGACGCCATTAAACTGTAGGCGATCAACGCGAAAGTAATGGCCAATGTACGCGTAGCATTTACTCCGTGTTTTCTGTCCGTACTTAAGCTAGATTGCAGCTCGAATCGAGGGGAAGAACTAAAAATTATCAAATAAAATGAGGGAATATCGATCCATGGGAGGTCGAGCTAGTCGAGCAAGCGTCGCCGTCACGCGTTTCGCGTAGGTAATGTCGGCGGCAAGATGTCGAAAACGGCTTGAGAATTAATAGATTTCATGATACGCGCAATTAAACATTCCCAATGGCCGCGTTTCTCGCGAGGACAGATATCGACTTCGTCGGCGTCGGTACGCAAGCGGAACGGAGACCGTATTCTTATCAAACGGCGTCCGTGCGAGGTAAAAAGCGCGGCAAAAGTCCACCGAGTAATTAGCGATATCACAAAGACGACGAGCGACGAGACGGGATTCGCACGCCCGCGTAATATGTAACGTCATATAGCGTGCCATCTCGACGGATCACAGAGCGACTGTTCCTCGTCAATGGAAATACGCCCAAGGAACGATGAGATTGAGATCTCCATCGTGGAGGTCGATCTGTGATCCGTCCGCAAAGACTCGGCAAGATGGCGGATCGTCACAGTTGGGCCGAATGGCGTAGTTAGCTTCTTACCTTGACCGGCAAACAGGCGGTGATCTTGAGGAAAATCTGCCGCACGTCGCCCTCGCCCTCGAAAATCGGCACGGAGACGCGGTCCTTCACGAGACACAACCGGCACAGGTCCAAATAGTCGAGGGAGGACATTTTACCGCGTGAAACGCCAGCTTCGAAACACGCAAAGCCGCGCCCGTTAAAAGCGTACGCCGTTCGCTGCGAATCCGTACAGAGAGCTGAGAGGGGCCCCCGCGCGTCGTTCACTATGCGTCGCTTCTCAACCACACTTCGGCCGCGTCCGCCTCGCTTCGGCCTTCCTCGGCGCGTTTCGGCAACCGTCGACGCGCTTCGGTAGTTTCCGTGGCGACTCGACGGCCGCGTTCGCACTTCGCGTATCGATCAGCTTGACCAAAGCCAACCGCCTTTACACACGACAGTCTCCAGCGCCGAGAAGGTTCTTTCCTTGAAATGCGATTCATGAATCGATGCGGGACAACGATCTCATTTCTCTCTCGAAATTTCCAATCCCGAAAATCAGAAGATTATCTCCTCCCTTCTTTTTTTCTTACTGCTCGCTTCAGTTGTCGAAATCGAGACGAAACTGAAATTCGAATCACAATTCAAACAATACGTACGAAACTGGCAAAATTACTTTTTTACATCACAATTAACTCAAATTATTGCGTAAATTGTTTCCCCGAGAAAAATTCTTGGCTCCGTATAAATTCACGACGTGATTGATTGATCGAGCAGGTGACTGAGAAAAGGTCGCTCGGGTGCACGCTATGAAGTTTTCATGCTCAATTACTCCCACTTTAGTTAGATGCTCAACGACGCATGATCAAACCATATAACGGCTATCAGCAAACAACAAAGAGACCGGTAGAGAAAATGTTGATATCCATTCATTGATTCGTACATACTACTCTTTGTCTCTACTGCGCGATGCATAATAAATTATGTATTGTGAATAGAATAGCATTTATTTAAGCACTCGTGTGTATATAATAGCATTTTTTTACGTAAATGGTGAATTGCTACTCTGTAATTTAACTTTAAATTACAAAAACATAGGCTACGTTCGAGATTCAAGGAGCGCTTTATCAATGCTATTATGTCATTCTGGCTACGTTCCGTTGCACGCACAATGCACATGATGTATCATGTTAGCCTTATTTAACACTCTGTAAATTACAAGAATAAAATGCGTATACCTCATGCGTATTGTGCGTGCAACGAAGCGCAGTCTCTATCTTGCATCATTCTGACGTAAAATAAAAATAGAATGAAGTAATAACGCTAATAGCGTGCTTTCGAAACACAATCTTAGAAATAAGCCGAAATAAGATTGGTGCAAGCGCCGTATTTTAATAGAAAAGCAGTTGATTTATCTGTGTTCGTAAAAAGATCAAGAAACACGCACAAACAAATATCATATTATATAAATCTAAAAGTCGTAAAAAATATATTTTCTTATATCTTTTACTTTCTAAATTTGTTTTAGATTGGAATCTCACCCTAAAGAGTAAAAATTGTGCAAGTCTTGAAAAATAGTGGCTCAATTTTGAAATTTTAAGAATGAGATTTCACTCTTCAGAGACGATATCTGCTTTTCAGGAATCATGTTATCCTTGTTTAATATATTCGGTAAACACCAAGGATAAAATAACATTAATTTGAATGACACTCGGGTGGGAATCTGAACCCGCAGCCCAGCGTGAAATTCATTCTAAAAATTTTAAAAAGAATATTTCTTATTTTCAATATTTTTTATAGAAAGAAATCCTTTGCCTATAACATTTTTTTTTTTTAATATGAGTAAAAAGAATCGCAAGAGAAAGGATTCCATAAGTGTCACCTCCCTTTGTATCGTTACGGTCTAAAGTATCTTCACACGTAACGATCTCTCTACACTCTTTGAAGAATATAAGGAGTAAATCTCACTCTTAAAAATTGAAATTCTACCATTCTTTTTCAAGACTGGAAGAATTTTGACTTTATATATAGTGAGATACCATTTTAAAGATTTTAAAAAGATTCGTCATATCAAAATTGGATTTCAATTGATTTTTTTCTAACACGAATTATTTATAAATAGTACTGAAGTTAATCATCATTTAAAAAAGATATCATCGTCGATAAACTGCCCAGCGTTCAATTGATACAAAAATCTGTCGCTTAAGCTTAATCCATTGTGAAACCAGCTTTACTCTGACGCAAAAGATATCAATGACCTCTTGCGTCCTTCCCTACATACGCTGCTGCATTGATTGCGCTTTATTTTTATTGATGCTTGAAGAAAAACGATTTTGCATTAGAAATGCTTTTACTTTATATATTTCATCTATTATCATTATTATTATATTATTATTATTATTATTATATAACATATTTGTACAAAATATAAGAAATATGATTTTTGTAACATTTAATTTAAAAAATTGAAAATTAAAAACTTAGAATATTATTATGTATATAATATCGTATACTATTCAAAATAAAAGTGAAAATTTTTAGTACACATACATGTATGTATAAAAAAAATTTAAATAAATTAAATATTTTATTTCTATACATGCCCAGTCAGAAATAATTTCTCGAAAAAACATTGTTTCGATGTCGAAAATAAAAGTCGAAAGGTTTCTATTGATTTCGACGGATTTTTGGTTCCAATTTCGATTAATTTTCGAGTTGGAAATAAAATCTTGAATTGATCTAGTCAGCATACAAATCTATTACTTAGTGTCACTAATGCAATAAGTAAATTCGACAAGTAGTGTCATTAATAGCGTAATAGTGGTGGAGAAAATTTCATTAAAGTTTCATTGAAATTTTATTGTAAAAATAAGTATTATTGATTAGCATCATATTTCAGAGGATACATGACAAAATTATAATAAAAAAAAATTTATTTTATGAATTCGAGAACTAATTTTATAATGGACCCATGATGTGCGATCGCCCATCCGAATCCGAACCTCCACTCATGCTTCATTTCTATAACTGGATGTATAGTTGTAATATATCTGTTCAAAGATGTTGTGAAAGAGGCGGACACATAAAAAAAATTAATGTTAAATATAGTAGTAATGTACAAATGTGATGATACTTATGACAATAACTTGTTTTTAATAATACTGAAAAATATTATTTTTATTAACTGAAATAATACTAATTGCTCTAAATGATATGTGTGTGTGTGTGTGTGTATGTGTGTATTTTTTACTCTAATAAATTTTTTATATCAAATATTATAATTACTGGAAGTAATATAAAAAATTCTATGTTACGTCATATACTACTACAGTAGTAACAATTCTGGCTCAGCATTGACACTATTATGTATCAATAGTAATATTACTGTAGTAGCAGTGACACTAGTAGTATTTTTATACTTCCAAATGATATTGGACTTGTATGATAGACCACATTTAAATTTCATTAATTTAAAAATCGAGATCGTTTCGATATCGATTCGAGCTAAAATTAGTCTAGCTAGACTTTGATAGAGTCGATGATATTTTTCCTTGATTTCATGCTCATTTATGGTAAGAGACATTATTCCTTAAAATTTCTCAATACAAAAGTGACGTATTGAGATTATTAAATAAACTAAGAAGTACAAATAAAAGTAATGTAATTCAGCAAATGTTATTCAGGAATAGAACAATAAAATAAGAATTATTAGAAGAAAAGATGTAGACTTTACCGACAGTTGTAAAAAATGTTCCGATTCGTATAAAAAAATTCCACAATTTTTTAAAAAGTTATAAAATTATTTATAAATTCTGAAAAATTTTGAGAAAGCTTTTATGATTAGAGCGATGTTGCAATTGTCGAAATGAAATTTAAAAAAATGTCGATTCGAATGAAAATATTCAAAATATAAGATTACGTATTACATATTTATATCAAAAATATTAAAAATGTCTCATCAATCTATCATTGCACTCTCTACATATGTAATTTTTTATCACTCGAAAATGTTGAAATTTCGATGCAAATTTCGAATCGACAACTTTTCCATCATAACGACGTCTTTTCGAACTATTTCTGACTGGTCTATATGTGTGTAGATATATGGAAAATAGATGTGTATGTATGTGTATGTGTATGTGTATGTGTGTATATGTATGTGTTTATGTGTGTCTGTATGTGTGTGTGGGAGGGGAAGAGACACATACGCATATACACGGATTGGAGCTCTATTGTTGATCTTATTATTGACAGTCGTATACCTGAAACCAGACAGTTTCGTGAATTTCGTTTTATCTTTGTGAAAGTTTTAAAGACTGGGTGTCTTTCTCAGTCCAGTGAGTTTTCTGGAAGCGTGATACTTGGATTTCTGCAAGAGAAATTGGGAAAAATTGGCCAGAAGAAGAAGCTACGTGAAACACGAAATACACTCGTAATGAACTTCTTAGAACGAAAAAGAAAGTTTATTGCGTCAGTTAATCCCTCTTTTACAGTGAAACAAAAAATTTATCTCATTGACTGCTTCTTTAGATATCAAACATATTGCTTATGAAGAATTTCGTACCAAATTTAAAGAGACTAAATTTAAGAATGAGACTTTAAAAAAGTTGGAACTCGATTTTTTTTATAATTCTCATAATGTATCTTGTGGCTATTACTACGATTACCATCTCGTTTCTGTATATTATGTATATATATTATAATATACTCAGACAGCACAGAATATGATTGGATTATGTCTTAAATATTTTCATAGTATTTACTATAGCATTTACAATATTTCATAATATTTATAATAAATGATCTGAGACTACATATTTAAAAATATTTACAAAATATTTAAAATAAGTCTTATAAATATTTATAAAATATTTTATAAATATTGTGTGCTGTCTGGGATAAGAAACGCTGTTTTACAATCTCTCAAAAAGAGTATGCTTCTAAAAAAATATATGAATGGTAATCCTAATTGTTATACATATTTGAGATTTTCGATCAATTTTTATGTATTAAAATAATTTTACCTCCTTTTTCTTTTTACAGAGTAATTGATATCTTTATAAAATATGCTACATTTGAGGAGTGGAAAGTAAAAAATGTCTTTGAAGGAAAAATCTGTTGGTATTTACTTCCTTTTTACACGGTAGAAGACAAAATTGACCAGATTGAACATTATTTTCATGAAAATCTGAATGCCTCCATTGAAAAAGCTGCTCAAGCATTCGGAATCATCCCTATAAAGCATTCATAGCATTCATCCCTATAAAGTAATAATCGGTGAGTTGTTAGAACAACGTGCTAGAATACATCGTAAAATTTTTTGCAATAGAATGAAGAAGTTCTATAATGCTGAAGAATTTAATGAAGAACGAATTATTTTTTGCGATGAAGCACATTTCTGGCTGGATGGATGCGTTAAAAAACAAAATTATTGGTTTCGCGAAGTTGAACATGAGTTGGATCAAGAAGAAGATTCCGAAGTTGCTGAAGCAACACTTCTTCTTAAGATGATTGTATGGGCAGCCATTTCAGTTAAAGAAATATGTGTAGAATTCTTCGACTCACCTATTACTAGAACAAGTTACCAGCAACTATTAGAAACAAAGTTCTTCCGTGTGCTAGGAAAAACCATTTAGTCGAACATTTCTACTTTGTGCAAAATGGAATAATGCCACATCGTACAGTTTTTAACAGTCTCAACAATGTTTATGAGGACCGAGTAATAGGTTTGGCATATCCTGATGATCATGACAGCATAAAGTGGCCTT